AATGGATCCATCCTACGATGGCTGCCAATAGTCTACACCCCCATGCAGAAATGGAACCTTCCAATGCCGGAAATAGCCAAAAAGCCCTATTTTACATAACTTTAAAGTGGTGTATGTCAAAATCGTGAATGACATTCTTTGGACATGTGTCCAAGGTATTCCCATACCAAATTTCAGGTCATTCGGATTTAATATTAGGGCACAGGAGCCAAAAATGTACATTTTGGGTCCGAAAATAGCCAAAAAGCCTTATTTTCCCAATTTTAAAGTGGTGTATGTCAATAGCTTGAATGATTTTTTGTAGACATATGTCCAAGGTATCCCCATACCAAATTTCAGGTCATTTGGCTTTAGTACCTGGGAACCAGATCTCAAAATGTATATTTTTTGCCTGAAAATGGCCAAAAAACCCAAATAAAACAATTTTTCAAAAAAATGAAAAAAACGCGTCGGGGTATTTGCCCACTCTACCTTCATGCCAAATTTCGTGTTATTTGGCCAGAAAATGGCAGAGATGAATCCATTTAAAGAAATGGCAGGAGAAGAAGAAGAAACATGAGGGAACACAATAAAAATGGGGTTTCACACAGGCGCAGTATGTTCTACTGACGTGCTCTGTGTACCTAAACTCATGCTTAGGTTCAGGTCCAGAGGTTTAGGTCCACCTCCGGACTGGACCTAAACCCACGGCATATTCATGTACAAGATTGCATGTTGGCAAAAATTTTGGAGTTTGCACTGTATTTCCAGGGTTTAGAAGCATTATATCAACTTGTTTGCAAAACATGTCTAGATGAAACTACAGCCACATAATTACAGAGGCTGACACATGACAATGCCCAGTGGCAATGTTTTTTTTCACACTGCAGTACAAATTTGTTGATCTATGGAAAGTTTTAGGTGGTTAAACAGAAAAAAGGAATGCTCATGATTTTTTTTGTAAATTCCATACATTTAGTTTTCTTTTGAATTCAACCTAAACATTTTTACAAGTCTGGGATCAGTCAAGCAAACCGGTAAACAGCACTAGACTGAAATACTGAATGCTTGGAGACCTTTTCAGCACATCACATTGCAGTTTTGCATTTTATTTTGACTGTTTTAAGAAGAGAAAAGATTCTATAGATAAAACATTGCATAGTGTTCCAATTATACTCTAGGTATCTAACTTACTGCATTCAGTCCTGGTTTGGAACGAATATGCAAAAAGCTTCCTTGTCCTACAAAATTTTTGGGAGAATACATGTATGTAGTAAAGACATGTATACCCAAGACTACAAGCATGTTATATAAAACATGTACAATGCTGATAGGCTGATAGAAAACTTATAAGAACACTGTCTTGAAGTTAAACTGGTTTACCTCTGCCTCTGGCACCCCCTCTGCCTCTACCCCGGTCCCCTCCAGAGTCCCTCCTGGGACCCCTGGAAGATGGACTCTCCCGAGGTTCTCTAGCATAGCCAGGGATTCTACCATCCGGAGATGTGGGGGAGGTAGGGGAGGTTGGCCCTCTTCTCACCCAGGCGTTTTCCTTGGGAGGCGGAGCGTCTACGTACTTTGGCGGGGTGTCTCCAACTTTAGGCTGGCTGGTTGGCGCTTCATCCCTATTTCAAGATGAATATCGTTGAAGATGTTCATCAGTCACGTAGAATTATCATTTAGTAGTATATTCCTCAATCAGTGACTATTTTGATAGGTAGAAACACGTACCTCCAAATTTTCGATGTCCACTGTACATATTGATCACGGAGTGACCTAGTCTCGCGAGAACACGAGACTAGGTAGAGGCTACCTACCCCTTCTCCGCAAGGAGGCGGGGGAGGTCAGGAAATCCACACAAGTCTCGACTGTAGTCTCGTGTTCTCGCGAGACTAGGTCACTCCGTGATCAAGATGTACAGTGGACATCGAAAATTTGGAGGTACGTGTTTCTACCTATCAAAATAGTCACTGATTGAGGAATATACTACTAACAGAAGATTCAAGATGTCTTTATTGAACTTTCACAGTGGACAACTTTCGCAGTCACTGAATTGCAGTCAATTTACAGTTTTTGACACTGACACATAATATTGCACATAATCTGGATTCTTTCATTTGGCAGAAATTGAAATGATTACAAAAAAATGTAGTATTGCTCATTAAATTACAATAATCATTGTTCAATTACAACATTTAAAAACTGTCAATAAAATATGCAGATTTAGCTGATCATATTTTAAAATGAATAAATTCTGTACATGTATAAGCAAGTTAAGGTTATTTCATTTCATCATGTCAACACGAAAGAAATAACAAGAATCCAGACATTGAATAGAGATGACCAAGGAGGAATATTTCCCATGTTCATTCAACAAGGTACACAGGCCTCGAAATTAACTTTTCATCCTATTGTCCCAGCACTGTCCCAAAAATAATCTTCAATTGTCCCGCTGTAACGATGAACGGTCCCAACCTGTTTTTTGCGAAGTATTGTATGACTTCAACTTGCAGTCAACTTTATTTTGCTTTTGCTCTTGGGGGGACTTTTCTGGAAAAAAGCCGAGACATGTGCCTGATAAACAAAAGAATGGCTGACATGCTGATGTTGCTTATTTTTCTATTGCCCAAAAAATGTCTCAAAGTGTCTTTTTAGTTGTCCCGGCCTAAATTTTAGTGGTCATTAGCCATCGGGACACCTTTAATTTCGAGCCCTGGGTACACATATATTGGATAAGAGAGTGACTGTACCTATTCTGAGGGGGTTCGCTGCGTTTCGACCAGGGGTTATCCTTCGGAGGGGGTGCGGGGATGGCTTTTGCGGGGGCGTCTTCTCTCTTTGGTGAGCGCGGGGACTCGTCGGATTGGAAGACTTCGTTTCCGTCAGCAGATCGCTCGCTGTCGTGTCTTTGATGACTGGACACTACAGAGAAGAAAAAGGTGACATTTGTAAATTACAGTTTCTACTTGAGGGCAAGTTCCATTGCTCATTACCACAAGTACAATGGAACAACCACTAAATATCTGATACCAGCCCAGAAAATTGGGACATCATCACTACGAAGCTTCAAACAACTCCTGCATTTAAATGTGCAAAGATTGGGTTACACTTTGTTCGGTGTAAAATAGCTAGCTGCCACCATGCCACGTGCCTGCGAAGCTGGTTATACCGGTTATACAGATACAGAAGCTGGCGTGTTACGCCAAAGGCAGTTATACCAGCTGTACAGATACAAATTCATGTTCCACATAGAAGACTAAACTCAAGGCCACGACCTAATGACTAGGGATACTGTATCATGTATATTAACTAGAGTACAAAAGAGTCTAAAGATTTTGAAGTAAACTAATTGATTAACGGCCATGTCTCCCTACCTGGTACAGGTCGCGGCCCTTTAGTTTGGCTAGATGAGCTGTTGTGTCGTGACCTGCCTGACGTCGCTGAGTTCTCACTGTCTCGCCGACTTCTGCCGCTTTCAGTCCGCTCACGAGGGGGGGCTCTGATGGGAGGGGGGGATTACAGAATAGTCAAAAAACTCTACACGATGTCCAGATAGTGCTGTGCACCTGAACTCATGATTAGGTTCAGATCCAGATTCAAGTCCAGAGGATTAGGTTCAGATCTGGTGTGGACTTGAATCCCTAACTCATAAGTCCAGACCTGAACCTAAACTTCTGGACTTGAATCCAGATTCATCTAAACTTGAATTCTGGACTTACAGCTGTATTCATGTAAGTCTGGACCTAAACCCATGGCATATACAAAATTGAATTTTGGCTAACATTTTGTAGTAATCACTGCACTACCAGGGTTTAGAAGCAAGATATCAACTTGTTTGCACAACACATCTGGGTGAAACTATGGCCACATAATTACAGAGGCTGACACATGACAATGCCTAGTGGCAATGTTTTCTTCACTTTGCAACACAAATTTTTAAATCTATGGAAGTGCTTCAGGTGGTTTAGAATGAACAAGAGAATGTGACATAATTCAGTTTTTGTGAGTTTTTTTTTTTACTTTTTTACAAGTCCAGAACTGGTCCAGTGAACCAGTACACAGCACTACAAATGTACAATGTACATGTATGTCCAGGGGCTCTTTTAGTCTTATGCATGGCTACTTCTATTTTTCTGGCCCCTTCATACAATGTATTATGAAAGCAGAAATTGTTATCATTCCAAATTATGAAAAAAATACAGGTTAAAATTGTTTATTTGTTCTCAGTTCTGACTAAAACTATTTACTATTGAAAAAGGTCCTGACTAAAGGCAGTAGGACTTTTCGGAAGAACATCATAAGTGTAACTTGCTGGAATTTTCAGGATGTTCATGAAACTTGGGAAGAAATCTCATTCCAGTATCTTGAAATTCATCCCAGTATCTTGAAATTTATCTCAGAAATTAAACCATTTTCCCTTTACTTATGCAATAAGCAGTATAATTTATAAATCAATTCTAGACTTAACTATGAAAATCTGAGCAATTCTGACTTCCACTTTCCATTTTCCGACTCAGTTACTACTTCATAGAGTACTACATGTACATGCCACACACTGGTGAGATTTTATGCTGTGCAAAACTGCAAGCACACATCTACAGCTTGGTCTACGGAGCAGAAATGTACAGTGTAGAAGATTAGTTTGCTGAAAAAAAACATGAAAATCATTGACAGAAATGAAGTACTACAAAAGACATAACTTGTTTCATCCAAGGTGGAAGGATATTATTTTCAAATCAAACAGGCGATTCAATCTTGTAACGTTTACCTTCTTAGAAGGAATTGTTTTTGCTCTGTTTCTTCTTCTTTAAACACATAAGGTCAATGACCTGGACCAGAGGTCTGTCACCATAATAACTGGTGCTGTAGCAGACACCCTGTGGTGTTGGATTACATTATGTAGCAAGTTGTAAGACAGAGTTGGAGGGGCTGGTCGGAGCAGTAATTTTGTTAGGCTACACCATTTGAAAGTGAATATTCTGCATTGGTTTTGCAAACGTTACCTTTCTAAGTTAAAACATAAATTGGTATTTAGAGGGAAATTGATGATTTCAAGTGCAAAACCATGCGAGTCAACAGCAACCTTGGAGGAAACAAGAGAACAGAAGAACATGGCGAAAGCAAAGCGTGGTGGTTTGAGTCACGAGACTCGTACCGAGACGCTCGCTCCTGGTGGTACCTCTCTTCCTCTTCCACCTTCTGTCGCGCTAGTTTCTCCTCGATCTCGCGTTCCTTCGCCGCCGTGTCCACGGGTTTGGCGGCGCCGAATATACTACTCTGGGACTTGGCTTGTGCCGGGGGAGGGGTGTTTTCCACAGGCTTGGTACGTTTTGCTAACTGAAGCTTGGGCCTCTCGGCAGGACCTAGAAACAAACAGTACTCAGTGTTAGAAATACCCATCATTCTGCAGTCTGCAGTTTGCAGACACATTTTCAATGTTGCAGAAGACAAATTAAGCAACCTACAACTTTTCAGACTGAGCACTGGTTCAATGGTGTTATCATAATTATTATATATTATATTTGAGAGATTTTGTGTTTACTATTGCCTCCATAAAGTATAATGTACTTCTACTAATTTTGCATATATTTTTCAAATTACATGACAAACGTTTGCCAACATGCAGTTTTGCATATGCCATGGGGTAACTAGGACCATCTGGACTTATAAGTTCTAAGCCTATTTGCAGAAAGTATTTCCGAATTGCAGAACAAAATTTTGACATTCTGCTACATGCATATTACAGAATGCTGAAAACAAATATGTCTACCACTGGTACTGAAGTATGACTAGCATTATACCACAGTATCATGGCCATGTTGCAATGTCATTCAGGTAAGGGGGGGGGGGGGGGAGGCTGATACAGAAAAACAATGGCAGTTTCTGGGCTTTGAAAACTCAGCTCTTTGGTCCAGAATCAGCTCCATAAACTACAGTAACTAGACGGTGCACACTGCTATCACAATCTATATTATTATACACTGTAAATCTACTGGATTGCACTGAGTGTGACCTATTCACAACACACATTATGACACTGTCAATTGCATTCCCAATGTATTACTACTGTACTACAAAATTATTTCAACCTCAAATTTCATAAAATCTCCTTTCCCCTCCTACAAAAGTAAAGGAATTTCCAGTACGAGATTGTTCATACATGTACCTCTCTCAGGTTCTCTGTCATCGCGGCCGCCCCTGAAGCCATCACGGTCTGGGAAGCGGTCATCTCTCCGTGATCCATACCTGTCCCCGAAGTCGCGCCCGAACCCGCCGCGGTCATCCCTGCGCCCGTACCCGCCCCTCCCGTAGTCGTCATACCCGCCGCCTCTTCTGTCATCGTCACGGTAACCCGAACCAAAGCCGCGCCGACCGCCTCCTGGGAGAATTCAAAAGAGATTGCTTAATGTTGTCTATATGATTTTCTTGTCATACGCATGAGAGCTCGAGAACAGTGCTCGAAATACTGGGTGCATGTGCACCTTACTGCACCCAAAATTGGAGCTGTGCACAAAAATATTATTGTAGGTATTTTTGTACACATCAAATTATAATAGTATGCAGGATATTACTAGCATCTAAGTGTCAGAAAAATAATAAAATTTTTGATTTTGAACTTAGCTCCCATTTCAGATTCAAGCTCAGAAGAGGAGCAGTAAGATCTATGATTAGGTTTTGTTTTATATGGTGCACCCGAAAAAATTTTGTGCACCCGATTTTTTAGGTTGGGTGCACCAGTGCACCTATTCCAAAAAATGAATTTCGAGCCCTGGAAAAAGAATAGGTCTAAAACACAAACAGCAACCCATTTTGTATAATTATAGAATACATAATATTCCCATCCACCTCTAGGACACATGCAAATGACAGGACACCACTACTGTAACCCAATGTAATCTTGTAAGACTAGATATAAGGTCAGCAAAAGCAGTGTTAGAAATACACATCTGAAGTCTGCATTTTGCAGAGACATTTTCAATAATGCAGAAGAAAAATTATTAAGTACCCTGCAATTTTGTACACTGAAAAATATCAGGCTAGGGGTTCAATGGTGTTGAAGAGCTTTAGTATTTACTACTGACTCCATAATATACAACAAATTTTACATGTAATTTCTAAGTTGCATGTAAAATGTTTGCAACATCCGGTTATTTATATGCCATGGGTTTAGCTTCGGACTTTTGAGTGTGCATTTGCAGAAAGTATTTTCAAATTGTAGAACATAATTTTGACATTCTGCAATATTGCAGAACAATGAAAATAAGTATTTCTACCACTGAAAAGATTCCAATTATGGTAGCTAGCTTCAGCTTATAGCAAGTACATGCAAGTCTACAGGAGACAATGCACCTTCCCAATACCGTTACCTTGGAAGTAAAGGAACTTTTATGCTTTACAACTTACAAGCATGCAGCCGAAAGGAAAGCTTCTACGTTTATGGAACATAGTGTTCCTACCTCCCCTATCATAACCCCTGTCTCCTCTATCATAGCCTCTGTCGCCATAGCGATCCCTGTCTCCATAGCGATCCCGGTCGCCGTAGCGATTTCTGTCCCCATACTGCGACCTCTCACCATCATCGTATCTGCCGCGGTCGCTGAAGCCTCGGTCGTTGTAGCCCCGGTCTCTCGACCCGTACCCCCGGTCTCTGTCGTCGTACCCGCGGTCTCGCCCGTAACCCCCGCGGTCATCGGATCTGCCGTAGCCGCGATCGTAACCGCCTCTGTCGTCGCTAGGACCTGCAAGAACAAAACAAAACTAGAAGGTCAAAAATTTGCAAAGCAAATGCATAGCGTTTATCTTCATAATATGGTCTAGCCTAACAAACTACTGCCCTGTTTATTCTTACTCTAACATATTCATACAATGTATGTATGGTGACCAGCCCCACCAAGGCTATCCTGCAACTTGCTACATGTACATAATGTAATCTATGACAGCTGTCTGGTCCAGGTCATTGACCTTATTGGTTCGAGAAGAAACAAACCAAAATGTTTTCCGTCTGCGAAGGTAAACGTAAGAAAAACAGCAACAGGATATAAGTAACAGTGTAAACAATTGTGTAGTGCTCTTCTGTTGTAACTAATTTTCTTACATTAACTTTTCCACAACTAGTTTCTTAGCTCTCTTTGTCACCTAACTGTTTACTTAACTGTTACCAATGACAATTGCATCTGATATTCTTAGTACAGTTCTGTATTCTCCTATTTTGCATTGTCATGTTTTGTATCAACAGGATTTTATTTTGTAGCTAGAAAGGTCACATTTTGCAAAGCAAATGCATAATGTTTACCTTCGCATATGGTCTGATCTTAGACTGTTAATTCTAACTCATTCATAATATATTGTCAGACAGGAGTTTAAATCCCTCTTGCTATAAAATTGCAACATGATGTAACCCAACACCAGTTACCATGGTGACAGACAGTCTGGTTCAGGTCATTGACTTCTAAAAACAGAGCAAAAACAATGTGTTTTCCTTCGGTAAACATAAATATAGGAATAGTACCTCTATCTCCATACTGATCCTGACTGTAGCGAATGTCCCGTTGGCCCGTGTCTCTGTCGCCAAAGCGACTGAATGCCGGTCCGTTCTCAGCGGAGGCTTTCCTCCAGTCGCCCGGCGTTCTGTCTTCATCCTCCGCACCGCCGCGGCCTCCCCGGTCCATGTCCCGATCACGGTCCCTCCGATCTAACATCGTACAATAATATCATATTTAAGATGAACTTAATATAACATTTGCAAAGCAAAATTGTATAATGTTTACCTTCGCATATGATATGGTCTGCTCTGTTAATTCTTTAATTCAAACGTATTCATGTATATGGTGACAAGAGTCTAAATCCCTCCTGCTATAACATTGCAACATGATGTAACCCAACACTCGTTACGATGGTGACAGACGTCTGGTTCAGGTCATTGACCTTATTTGCTTAGAGAAGCAAAGGAAGAAGGAACAGAGCAAAAACAACAATGTTTTCCTTCTGCAAATGTTAACACATTAATATCTTGGTACCTGAAAACCCCCCTCGAGCTGGGGGCAGGATCCCTGCTTCAGACGAGGCTTTTCTCCAGTCCCCTGCTGTTAACTCATCATACATGGCTCTGTCCCGGCCGTCTGAACGATCCTTACCATCCCGGTCTCCCCACCGAGAATCCCTGTCTGTGGAAACAAACAGTGCCTTTCATATTACAGCTGGGTATGGAAGTATTGTTTTGGGTGGCTGGGTTTATGGGTTTGTCTGTCTGTGTGTCCTTACTATCCCGGTCTCCCCACTGAGACTCTCTGTCTGTGGAAACAAACAGTGCCTTTCATATTACAGCAGGGTATGGAAGTATTGTTTTGGGTGGCCGAGTTATTGGTTTGTCGGTCTGTGTGTCCTTTTGGTTTCATGGTGACCCATGCCTTCATTGCTGCTGGTATGGAAGTATTGTTTTGGGTGGCTGGGTTTATTAGCTTGTCTTTCTGTGTCCTTTTAGTTTTATAGTGAGTGAGTGAGTGAGAGTAAGAGAGTGTGAGTGAGTGAGTGTGTGTGTGTGAGTGAGTGTGTGAGTGAGTGTGAGTGTGTGTTTGTGTGAGTGCGTGAGTGAGTGAGTGTGTGAAAGTGAGTGAGTGAGTGAGTGAGTGAGTGAGTGAGTGAGTGAGTGAGTGAGTGAGTGAGTGAGTGAGTGAGTGAGTGAGTGAGTGAATGCTTTTAAGTAGCATGGATATCTCGGGTATGAATTTGTACACAATATAGAAAGAAGAAACTTGTGCTGACCTTGTCCTCCTTGTTGTGTCTGGTCAGCCACATCTATCCTGATCTGACGATTCAGCAGTTTCTGTGGGGAAGAAAGTTCTAAATTGTAAAGAAATAATACAAAAAGTGTTTTACCATTTTTTGACACTTCAATGTCAGGAACATGCTGTATCCTAGTGTACAATAGTATCTTTACATACACAAACATATTGGGGTACCAGTGCAACCATATTCCTACTTGTATATTGCAGTCATACTGTCCAAAATTTTAAGAAGTGCATATGCACCCAGGATTTTGAGCCCTGTATATGGTAAAACATTGTCTAGCCTAGCTACATAGTTTTTTCCTTAGTCAGTTCTAAACACACTTCATATTGTTGTGGTATTGCTTGTCATCCAGACCAGTTGACATCAGGTTAATAAATGTCAATTCAGACCAAGCGCGGTTGGTACTGAGATGTAATCATTCAAGCAAAAAATGACCAGAAGTAAAGTGAAGTAAAAAAAAATTTGTAAGCTGACCTCATTGTTCATGTTAATGGCTTTGAGAAGTGAATCCTTGTCCTCGAATTCCGCGTACCCGAAACCCTTCAGCCGACCGCTGTCACCACCGTCACGTGGTAACCTTACCGTCACCAGCTGTAGTATGGAGAAAAAAAACACACACAGTTTAGAGTAGTGCTGTGTACCTAAACCCACATTTAGGTTCAGGTCTCCTGGATTCAAGTCCAGAGGTTTAGGTTCAGTTCCGGACTCGTAAGTCCAGACCTAAACCCATGGCATATACAAAATTGCATGTTGGCAACCTTGCAACGTTGTTTGGGCAAAACTTGGGCACATAACTATGGAGACCGACACTTGACGATGCCCGATAACAATGTTTTCTTCATTTTCGTATTTTGCAATAATCTATGGGAGGTTTTAGGTGCTTTGGAAAGAAAAGGGGTATGCGACATGTTTGTTTTTGGTAATAAGTCCGGAATCGCTTCTTGAGACTTTTAGTTTTTTTTTTTTACTTGAACCTAAACATTTTTACAAGTCTGGAACCGGTCCAGTGAACCGGTACATCGCACTAGTTTAGAGACAGTAAAATCTCTGACTTCAAATGACTCGATGAGATCAGCAATACCGTTGTTCACAATTTTTTTGTGGTACTTTTAAGCTCGCAGTTTTCGCAGTCACTTCTGTACCCTAAACTTATCATTACTGTGAACAAATAAATTCACCGACTTTCTTTTTTCTGCACCTGCTGTGAACATATAGTTCAATTGTCCATTTTTCTCAGATCGTTAAGTTTTGCCACCATGAACATAAAGTGAATCACATAAAATGTAGACCTGGGTGCCATTACGTCAAAAAGACAACGGTCAACAGTCAAAATCAGATATATCTGGATCTTGTGCAGTTATCTAGAAAATTTACCTGTATAAACTAGTTACAGTGTATCATGAAGTTATCAACTGACCTAATATTGATTCCAATTCTAAACCACAATCTAAAGTACACACATAAACAAGCTGATCACAGACTCAAGGACTGAAAAATAAAGACCATGTTATGGTAAAGCAGGACTTTTTTCAGGATGTACTTGTTTTCTGTCCTTGAAACACTGCCTTGAAAACATTTCGCAAATAACTGAAGTAATATAAGAGTGACGGCTTGAAATTCATTTTTGGGAATAGGTGCACCGGTGCACCCATTGGGTGCACAAAATTGTTGGGGTGCACCATATATAAGATATTAAGTTGTATGTCAGCAAAAACTAATTATGTTAAATTCCTAAAAAAAAAGTACTACAACCATGATTTTATAATTTTTCTGACACATAGATGTTGAGAATGTGTTGTATACTAATGAACATCTTTACATACATAAACCTACGAAGATACTTGTGTGCAAAAAAAAAAGTTGGGTGCACAGCTCAAAATTTGGGTGAACTAAGGTGCACATGCACCCAGTATTTCCAGCCCTGATACTACATACTCTACATTATATTGGTATATTTACATATACTTGAAGGTAATAATACACTTGTATGGGACAGTTTTGCCTTTTCCAAGTTCACAGTTTCTGGTACAATGAAGAATACAATAATTTGCCGATTTTGTAAAGTGCTCTATGTCTTAAATGTGATTTGTATACTGTTTCTGTTGCTTGTCATCCAGACCAGTTGACATCATGTTAATAAATGTCAAGTCAGACCAAGCACGGTTGGTACTGAGATGTAATCATGCAAGCAAAAGAATGCTCAGTAGAGTGCATTGACAATTTTGAATACAGATCACAGATCTCAATTAACTTCCCGATTGTTTTACATGCAGTTTCATTTATTCGGCAAAATTTAGTACTTTTCTTACTGTTATTGCTATAGAAACAGTTCTACTAAGCTGAAAAGATCGTGTATTTGCAGAAAGTCTTTCCAAATTGCAAAACAAAATTTTGACTGCAGAACAAAAAAAAGTATTTCTACCACTGTGTGATATGATACGTGTGGCGTAACCGCAGAGTGCTCGACTCGGAACCAAAACGTCCCGGGTTCGAGTCCTGACATGATATCGATCTTTTGCCCTTGGGAAAGGCACTTTACACGACTTTCCTCACTTAAGTCAAAATAAGACAGTTATTGTCTGTATTAAAATATAAATATTGTTTGCCCTGTATTTGTTCTATGTGCCCGGTGTGGGACACTACACCAGCAACAACTGCCTTTGTTCCACGTGTATTGTATTGTTACAATCTCAACAAATGAAAAATCAAATCAAACCTTCATATCGCGGAAAAATCTCTCGATGGCTTCTTCATCCACGTCGTACGAGAGGTTCCCGAGGAAGGCGGTGTAGGGCGGCTTGTCGGGGATGCGCGAGGCGTCGAAGTCTGCCATCCTGGCGGAGCGCGGGGCCGTGGGGAGCTGAGCACGGTCAATCGCAGAGGAGTAGCCTGAGTCGGACCAGGTGGGAGTGGCTGGGGGGGAGAATTGTTGAATGTGTTTTAAAAACATCAGAGACTACTGCTCACTTCAAACTTCTGCCAACTGTTCATATAATGTTCTGTGACTGACTAGTATGTAGAATATGTTTCTTTCATTTGTACATAATGTTAACTTCTTTTTGTGCTTAATGTGTGTTTTTTTTTACCATGTTATCTGTTGCATATGCGTTTTAATTTCTGAATGATCCCTGGAGGATAAGCCTTTTGGGCTTAAGGGCAATGGCAGTGTTTTGTTCATTTTGCAGCACAATTTTTTGGCTATTAAAGCTTTCAGGTGGTTTAAAACAAAAAGGGGAATGTAACATGTTTTTTTTTTTTTCTGGAACTGGTTCCAGATGTTTATTTTTTGGGGACGTGAAGTTGAACCTAAACATTTTTACGAAGTCCGGAACTTAAGTTCCAGCAAACCAGTACAGAACACTTCTGGAAATACAACATTAGTTTTCGTTTGTCTAATACTACATCCAAAATCCTGAAGACAACATACTGTCATAGTCCAGTCCCTCCGTCTCATCTGCCCAGTCGTTAGACTTGGGTGCCATGACATAGCTGGTCGGAGCCGCATCGCCAAGAAAGTCATTCAGACTCACGGTCTGTCCCTTTGCCTTCTTCTTCTTCTTGCCTACTTAAAAATAAGGCAGAAAAACAGTCAACACATTGAAGCATTACAGACAACTATGTTGAGTTAAAACATCACACACAATAATGCCATACTTCTTAAAGGCAGTGTATTTTGAGGTCTTGGATACCTGATTTTTCAAAGTCAATATTCTAGTCATTTATCTACATACTGAGTTAAAACCACACTATCCCAATGTATATTGACCCTCATGGAGCAAAAATACCCAAAATTCTGACAGAAAAAAGGCACTGGAAGGACCTGGGATGATTTTTAGGGTACAACACTTAGAATAAAGGACTCATCTTGGGGCTTATTTTCTGCAGTTTTAAATACCCAGAGTATGAAATACTTATTGAAATGTGCTATATAATGTGAAGCAGTATGTGTCAAAATCACCAAGATTGCCTTATTCAGAATATTCTAGTTTTGCTGCCCTGAAATCGCATTGGATGCATTTAATGAAATAAAAACAGGTGATTGTTTTTAAACGATGACAATTACAATTTACCTCTGTAGACAGTAGAATCTTACGTCGCATTCTAACTAGGTTTCCTGTTTTTGTATTGAGCCTAAGCTATTATATACTCTGTATACAGCCTTGCATGTAAATTACAGATTGAAAAGCTATATGGAAGCCATTGGGCTTCCTTGGCCATGGCCAGGTATCCATTTAAATTAGAATGTCACATTTGTATAGATTATACTATTTATACTATATTATATAGGTTTAAACTGCAGGAGAAGGATAATCAGTCCATGTTATCCAAGACCTACATAAATATGTACAATGTTACTGTATATGTTACATACATCACTGAAAAACATTTTCCATGACATAAAAATCCTTGGGTGCTCTTCATGGTTTAACACCCATAGGGGCTAAAGCATTGCAGTGCATACTTCGAATAAATCAAGCTCTGGCTTGAAAATGTTCCTGGAACATAGCCAATTCTTTTTATTGAAAGGCAGGATAACAAAGATTCAGCACAAGTGCATCTCATGTCTTTTGTGGACCAAAAGATGTGCATATAAATTATAACATCAGGGCTCAAAATTCATTTTTCGGAATTGGTGCACTGGTGCGCCCAACTTACAAAATTAGGTGCACAGAAATTTTTTTGAGTGCACCATATAAAACAAAACTTAATTACAGATCTTACTGCTCCTCTTCTGAGCTTGAATCTAAAATGGTAGCTAACTTCAAAATCTTACACAAGTACATTTTGTACTACAACAAAGGTTTTATGATTTTTGTGACACTTAGATGCCAAGAATATCCTGTATTCTATTATACATAATTTTGATACGTACAAAAATACCTACATACATTGTAAATATTTGGGTGCACCGGTGCACCCACAGAAAAAAAAATGGGTGCACAGCTCCATATTTGGGTGCACTAAGGTGCACATGCACCCAGTATTTCGAGCCCTGATATAACATGTATGTTGCAATCATCAGCAGTCACTAGAAAATTAAAGAATTTTTATAATGTGCATCATGCATATGATAATGTGGCTGCAATCCTGTGTAAGCAAGTCAGTGGTCAGAACACCAGATAGGAATCAGCTGCCCTTGCAGTAAAAGTCAATTCTGACATTGTTATCTCCAACAACTAACCCAATATAATAGTGATCAAATGGCAAACCAACCTCATTTCACAAGGTCAAGTCTATGCATTCTGCTGGCTCATTTGGTACAAACAAACTACGGAATAAAATAATAGAAAAAGAATATCTAAATCTGGTTTCACTAACTAACTTCCAGTAAGATAAAAATTCCAAAATGCACATAAAAATTGTACAGAATATATCTCAATCTGTATGGAGACAGTGGGTATCACCGCTGGCATTTCAAAGTCAGGAAAAAACATTTGCCTTTATCTTCTAAGACCAGACACAACCTCTCAATGACAGATTATAACTGGCCAAGACAACAGCATAAAGCACTACTTTATCAGAATGTGTGCACTTGAATAAATGGGAACAAAGTACCACAGATTTTCTAAAATATATCCTTTACAGTACATCTATTACCGTATCATAATGTCTTTTTTTTATGCAAGTTTTCCAATGAAATGAATTACAGGGCCTGCATAAAAAAGGTATTTCTGCAGAGAATAATAAATCATACAGTGTATGTGAGGAATACAAATTCATTTATACAGTAAATTTACTGTGCATCAAATTTAGGTGATGCTAAAGAAAAAATCAGTTTTTACAATGTAGTAGATTATGCACAGTCAAAACTGTACCCTGAATTTTAGTAAAGATAACACTTAACTAAGTTAAGTCATTTATGAAAATTTAAAATCATTTCCATAGGTGAAATAGTGTCAAAATACAAACATGTACATTGTAAATACTGTTTAATATTTTAAACATATGACTATAATGTCCATGAATTTTGCTGATCAAGATTTTCATTGGTATTTTCTTGACATTGCCCCATTCCAACCTGTTTGAATTTAAAACAACAATAACCTGGAATCTGTGAATCAACTGTCTCATAATAAAGGTTCAATCCCACAGCAAGAGATTCAATATTTAAAGTCAGGCAAAACGGTAGACAACTAGCTATAGGTACAAATAAATCAAGACACTTTGGGACTGAAAAATGTGTCAAATGCTGACAATATGACTCATTATACCATTATTTTCCCGTGCCTCAGTCACCAAACAATTGCTGAGTTGTCTAACTTGTAAGACAACACTAACTCTTGTCCCAAGAAAGTTTTATCTTTGAGATGGGACAATAAAGTTTAACCTTGCCATCCATCAATACTTGTTAATAAAAACTTATTTTAATCAACATTAGGTTTATTACATAAATATTGCTTAATAACTCGCAACATTTGTTGAGGTCAAACATTCCCTAACCCATACTTAAGAGCCACGCCCAATACTTGCCTTGTGATGTGCTTCACATTGTACTAGTTATAAAAACTATTTATATGGCACTAGTGACATTTAGGCCACACCAATTTAATTTCTTGGTTAACGGATTTTTCTAGAAAAATAATGGAGCGGGCGGGCGAAAAAATAAAAAATAAAAACAGGCCTAGGCATCGTATTATGGCCCAAAATGGTACGATAGGAGCCATGAAGTCAACACACCAGGCTGGTTCAAAATTTAAACAATGAATTTTGAACTTTTAATGATACCACTGTATTGAAAGATGGAATAACTGTAACAACTAGGATGAAAAAGACTGTTTTCAACTGTTCAGGGCAAAATATGAGTATTTTGCAGTTGATTCTGGATTTTTATTTTTATTTGCAAATCAGAAAAAAATGAAGCGGCGAATCTGTTAACCAAGAAATTAAATTGGTGTGGCCTTAGTGACATATATTTATGTGACTAAGCTACTAGTACAGAATCAAATCATGAATTTAATTTTCTTGGATTCTCCTAAACAACATGTAACTTGAAACAGACACAGTTTCTCTTTTCTTTAGTTTGAGAAAACAAAAAAAATAAGGGTGTACAGTGTAACTTGTAATTATACATGATCACTAGACTCACTGTTTATATTATTTTAAAACCACATTATAAGTATTCCATAGAAATATATTTTGGCTTCAGGTTACATTTTCAATGTCCTTTCCTGATTTGCATATTATTATCAGTAACTTTATTACTATTTTATTACTAGCAGATTCCCTTGGATGAAAACTGATTTGCTGATATTTCATGTTCATCATTTTATGTTTATTATCTCATGTAAAGAACAACATACTAACCTTGGTTCCCCACATAAAAAAATGAACATTGGACTACCATGCAATTTTTTTAATGTGAAAAACATACATATGGTGGGAGGAAATTAAAAACTGAGCAACAAACTTTGCAAAGGCGTTTGAGCTAATCGACACCATAAGATAACATTGATGTCATAGATGAAATCTCATGGTTTTCATATGATTTATAATAATTTCCAAATTACCCTTTTTTGTTTCAACATGGACATTATCATGCCCTTGGTTTCAACTTCAGAAATGATATGATTATGAATTGTAATGGTATGATTATCAAATATATGATCAATTTGCTTCTTATGATCACAGATTAATTTTCCTCTACTAATAGAAATTAACATCGACCTTTTCCATAAGGCCATGTTGATTTGATTATATGGATGACATCCGCGGGCGCATTAATTTTCGTCCGTTTCCAAGAAAAAGTTTTCAACCATACTGTAAATCGTACAAAACAGTTGCAAAATGAGCAAATATATACCGTAAGTTGAAAAAAAAACATTGGAAAACGATACCAATGTTGTAGAATGCCAAAATCGAACGAAAAAGACGAAAATGTAAAAAAAATGAATTTGAAGACTTGATTATTCGCCAAACCATACTCTACATGTCATTTGTTCAACCTTCAAAATCACGTAGGTTTAATGAAAATTTTTTTTCTTTTTTTTTTTATTCGCACGCTCGAATCAGTTTTGGGGTTCCCAGAGGATGTCATCCATATAATCAAATCAACATGGCCTAAGCTATATATCATTATGGGAAACGTAAGTTGATAACAGAATTTGCGCATGGACATATGATGTCTTCCCATGCGGCATGCTAACGTGTCAGTGTACACAAATCTTTCAACGCCATCGCTAAAAAACGTTCTTCCACTAAAACAAATCGACAGCTAGCAATATAACCTAGCTCTAGCCATACAAACTACAGAAACATGCCCAGACCGATTGAAAATTCTGAGCATTGCGCAATAAAAAAAGTCCTCGCTTCATGCGATCGGCCGACAGCGACAAAATCTGCATGCGGCAATATGGTAGCGCCATTTCAATCTGCCCAATTTCTCTCAAGTCATCGCGTTAGATCCCGGGATAACACCAAAAAAACTGGTCAGATTTTCCCCATGTAATCTCTTTTATCCATCTGACTAACTCGTGTATTCGGACTGAGAGATTTTGAGGAAAACTTGAGGAAAATTCTGGGGAATGAACGAAAATTTCTCACCTGCTGCCGCCATGTTGATCTAGGTTATGGGAAGTGCCCGGATGTTGGCGATGACTACATTTTTGGTATTTTGTGGGGGTGGAACTTCGAGATTTCAGACCAAATTTAACATACGAAAACAACATTCAAAATCCAAAATAATTTCTCTTTATAATTAATTTCATATAATACAGCGTTTGCAATGTTCTCTTAGTTTCCAACTTTTCACAATTTCGGTTCATCTCTCGTACTTGTGACATGCTTTTTTTCGCGCCAAATTTTGGAATCACCCAAAGGGGCTTGGCCTCTCCCACACGTGGGCAAAGGAAAAGAACGAATACTGACTACTTTGTTGTAAAATTACATTTTCTCAGTAGTTTTGACCATGTTGATTTATAATAATCCTAATTTTCTCAAATCTAATCAAGCAATGATGAAGAAAAGTTATCAAAATCTCATGACGTTACCTTTGACCCTTCATCCGGGGATCGTGAGTGGCGCGCATGCGTGGTACATCCCGTCGAATTTTCTCACATTTCGATATTCCGTTCTGCACTTTTGCATCGTCTGGGTGTCTTAGCGAGACTTCCGGCAATATGGTGAGCATTTTCTGACAAACATTGCATTTTTAGTAGATTATGAAGAACTTGTTTAACCTAGCCAGCCGCGTTTTTGACTGGTAGCTCCCCATTTCGCTTCCCAACTTCCCGAACTTCTAAAGATCTCACCTTACCTGGTATATATACATATACGTTACACGTTATCTGTGATACCCCCCCCCCCTCCTTCTAAAAAAAAACACCTACAGTACATACTTGCAATGGTTTATTTTCCCTAACGATAGCCATAGACATAAAGGCTAGTCACAAGCTCATGAGTATTTTTACCAACCACCTGTTGATGTTACCATGGTAACATGTGTTGCCATAGTAACCACTACACCATCAGAGACATGGTAGTTTGTGGTAGTTTTGTCACAAAATTTGACATGTGTCAATTTCTGTTCTTTGCATTTGGATGTTGGAAGAGGTTGATTTTCTCACCTTTTTGGAAATTCCATCTACCATATATAGCCACTCCCACCAACATCCTTTCAAACTCCTTTCTTCAAACTGTAGCTTTGCTTGAAATATATGTCATACACAGAAAAGTAATTCTTACAGTGTTTTGTAAATTTAAGGATAATAAATCGTACATACTATCTAGCAATAGAATTTATGAATTTGCAGTATTTTGAACATGGCAGTGATTAAATTTTAAATTGAGAATGTTGAATTTCGCCAGTCATAATTGAACTAAAATCATGTTGATATTTCAAACTTATGTAAACGTAAGTGAATGAAAATGTATGTGTAAAAGTATACATGTGCAGCGAGTGGTAGGCAAAAAACAGGTGACGGTTGGCTGATTTGCCTGCCAATAATTTGCATGTCTTCAAGTAATTTGCATGTACATGTATGTGATGTAAACAAAAACAGTGATCACTGGTATTGTGGACAGTTCTCTCAGACTCAGTCAGAGAATGCCTCTTCATGTTTCTTTCTGATTACACAAAACACAACATAACAAAGACACTGGTTTTGAAAATACTGTTCTCTTGTTCACATTGATATGTGACAAAACAAGGGCTGTGTTTGGGTAGATGTGTTTTTTGTGTGTCCCTCATCGATATCTATTGTGTACGAAAAATTAAAATGTTAACTTCGTGCATGTTTTTTTTCCCACTGAGCCCATTCAGTCTGAAGCCCTAAGATAACATAAGTGCCTCATTCAGTCACACTTGAAGTCTTAAGAAAAAGTTATCTGCACTCTTAGTGTTGTTCATTACTTTAAGGCCACACCAATTTAATTTGTTGGTTCTCGGATTCGCCTCTTCATTTTTTTCTGATTTGCAAAAAAAAAAAAAAAAGATTCTGGTTCTGAATCAACTCAAATATGCTCCTCTTTTGCCCCCAACAGTTGAGGAAAGTCCTTTTCTTACTAGTTGTTGAGTTTTTCCATCTATCAATGCAGTGGTTTGATTAAAAGTTCAAAATTCATTGTTTAAATATTACCGGTAACCCAGCCTTTTGTGTTGACTTAATGGTGCCTGCATTTGGGGCTATAATAGGATGCCTGGACCTGTTTTTATTTTTATTCTTTTTCGCCCTGTCACTTCATATTTTTTCTGAAAAAATCCGAGAACCAACAAATTAAATTGGTGTGGCCTTATCTTGCACTTGATCTCTACTTTACCACTTCCCTCTTCACATGTACTGAATGTCTGACTTCTCCTACAGGACAGAAGACAGTTTTCAGGGAGTCTTGTGAGTCTACAACAGATTCTTCCCTCACTTAGCTAAGAAAGAGGAGCCAAGGGGCATGCTTGGTGTCTCAATAAGTTGTTAAATAAAAAAAAGCCCTAGGAAAAAAATGTTGTGTTTCCTGTTTCCCGACCGACCCTACAAAAACTGCCAACCCTAGAAAAAAACTGCTGACCCTCATTTTTTGTGTGTAGACTGCTAAAACGTAAAAGGGATATAAATTTTTAAAGCTCTTCAACTTTTTCTAGCTCCATGATCTGACACCTGAGTGATGAAACAATTTGTACAGTCAGTTTTCCAATGACATTGAAAATAGAAATGTTCTCATGCAAGTTTTACTCAGTTAAACTGTATTGTATATGTTGGATCACTATTTAAATATCACCAAAGTCTAAAAAAAAACAGAAGAAAGAAATATAATCCCTACCTACAGACCATAATTTTTTCAGGACTGAAACAGGAAACACAACATTTATTTTCCTAGGTGTAACAGGGCTATTCCAGAAGAAAATAAAATAGACTCCTTGCTTCTCATTTCCTAAAACATCCTCATATTTTTGTTTAAAATATTTCAAGAAAAATGGACTACTATATCTGCTATGAAGGCCCACTTCTAAACTGTTTCAAAAAAAGTTGAACAGTTTGCAGAGTGATATTTTTCCCTCTCTTTCCATATATACACACAATTTATAAAAGGCAAGGAGTGTGTTCTTATGGCATTGCATGTTTACTGTTTATCATAGCCATACTAAACAATGATGTTTTTTGAATACAAAGGATAATCTTATAACTTTCGTGAGCGTAGCATCGATAATATAAAACCCTAACAACGTTATACAGCAAGATTTACTGAACCTGCATAGCTCTGCATAGCTGTTAATTTGATACATGTGGTATATATTTTTTTTAACTTCTTTTTCATCTGGACCAGCCCTGTGCATGAACATAGCATTTTGCAGACATTTCTTGACTAACATTGTTACATTGCAGGACTAACAGCATGTCATTGGTACATGTTCATCTTGGAAAGATATCATCCATTCCTGCAACTAAAACTTAGAATAAGGTCATGAATGTAAAAATTCATTCATATCAGTTGAACTTGTTCTGTTGTTCAAGATACTCATATCACAGCTTTTTAAAAAAATCATGTTTTTCTAAAGTCGTAAAATGTTTTGTTTTTTTATTCTTTAGGCGGAGCTGGGACTGAATGACCACCACCAGGGCAATGTGGTTAACTACATGCGATTTGCACGCTACAAGCGAGGGCAATGTCTGAAGTCTGTGGACTTGTGCTTCGAGGACCTGAAAGACAGCCGGTAAGGTCACAAGAATCTGATAGAACACTGGGCTTGAAATTGGTGCAAACAACCTAAAAAAAATTGGGTGCACAAAACTATTTTAGGCGCACCATTTAAGATAAAATAAGTTGAATGTTGGCAAAAACTAATTAAAGAAAGTAAAGAAAAGTACTATAACAATGATTGTTATTTTTCACTTGGATGTAATAAGAATATGCTGTATACAAATGTACTACATTTAACAAGGTACACATGCAACCAGTATTTTGAGCCCTGGAGAATAACATTATTATATATTGAAGCATATACTCAGGGCTCAAAATTCATTTTTAGCAATAGGTGCACTGGTGCACCCAACCTAAAAAAATTAGGTGCACAAAAATTTTTGGGGGTGCACAGTATGAAACAAAACCTAATACTGCTCCTCTTCTGAGCTTGAGTCTAAAATGAGAGCTAACTTCAAAATCTACAAGTACTACAAATACAACAAAGATTTTATTATTTTTAGAGACACTTAGAGATCAAGAATATCCTGTATACTATTATACATTTCTAATGTTAAAAATTCCTACAAAAATATTTGGGTGCACCTGTGCACTGACCCACAGAAAAAAAATTGGGTGCACAGCTCCAATTTTGGGTGCACTAAGGTGCACATGCACCCAGTATTTTCAGCCCTGTACTAGATATTTAGTGCTGCATTCTGGTACTGGGTACCAGTACAGTACCACAAACCTTGTACATGTAAACACAGGTTGAAAATGCTCTTAACCTTTGTACTGATACTTATACCTCTATAATACTACAATGTACATTTACAATGTAGGTATTTTATTACTTCAGGCTTGGAGAGAATAGTCAGTCATACATAATAAATAGCCTGTTATACATTCAACACATGGTCCTACTGACTTGGTCAATAATATTGCACATGACTGTTTCCTTATCATTAAATATTCAAAGATACAGGCTCAGAGACAACAATACCTGGCAAGGTTCCCACCCTGTTCTGCAATAGCTGTTTGTCAAAGCCAATGTTCTTCAGTTTTAATTTTATGACTTTGCATTCTATTCTACATGTATGGCCTTGCTATTGCATTTGCAGTGAATACATATACATTCCATTTGCAACCTGCACAGTAAATGTAGGAGTCTAATTACTGTATTGTTCTAGTCGATATAAATGGAAGGTCAAGACCCTGGAAAAAATTGTTGTGTTTATTTTTTCTCTACTGACCCCTAGACTATTTTTGTGTGTGTGAGGACCCCTGCAAGTGACATTAATTTTTCGAACTGATCAACCTTTTCTAGCTCCTGGATGATCTGACACCTGAAGGATAAAACGTTGTATACAATTGGTTGGATCATTAGAAATTGCTAAAAAAGAGAGAGAAAAAAAAAAGATAATCCCTACCTACCAACCACCCTATTTTTTTCAGAACTGAAACAGGAAACACATCATTTTTTTACTCAGCCTAAAGTTGATAACCCATTTTCTTGTAATATAGTAGAATGTACAGCCTAAAATTCCTGGTAATACATGTTCGTTACTTCCAGGTATGGATGTATAGTTTTGGGTGGCAAGCCATTATGGGTTTGGTTACATCTGTCTGTTGCTCTCAGTTTCGTGTTGGGTGGGAGGTGATTTTGACAGCTGATTGGTAGAAAGGTCACCCGAAGGGGACCCAGCGCACTCCTAAAATCATACAGTCTCCTCCTTAACACTTCTTGTAGGTCTGTGAGCCCGAAGATCCAAAATACTCACCAAAAGTTTGATGTACAATCTTTGTTGTTTTTCCTAATTAAAGTTTCCTCTACTGCTCCAAACCAATAAGGTCAATGACCTGAACCAGATGTCTGTCACCATGGTAACTAGTGTTGGGTTACATAATGTTGCAATTTTATAGCAGGAGGGATTTAGACTCCTGTATGACCAACGTGTTTGAGTAATAATTTACAGAGTAGACCATGTGCGAAGGTAAACACTATGCATCTGATTTGCAAATGTTAGTCTTTCAAGTTGTTGATTTAAGTCTCATTTCTTTCCTCTCTCCAGATTGACAGACGACACCTTTACGCTGGATGAAGTTATCCAGATGATGGACGGGTTAGAGACCGTGGTTCGCAGTGAGGTGGAGTCAGAACTGATCAACACGGCGCACACCAACGTCCTGTTGCTACGGCAACTCTTCAGCCAGGCAGAGAAATGGCACCTCAAGCTGCAGGCTGACATATCTGACCTGGAGAACAGGTGAGTTAGGGTTTTTTGGCAACACCTCAGGGGGGAGCCATCTTTTGTTTTGCTTGTATCTCTTTAGCCGGGAGAAGAAATGGCACCTCAAGCTGCAGGCTGACATATCTGACCTGGAGAACAGGTGAGTTAGGGGTTTTTTTGGCGACACCTCAGGTGCGGAGCCATCTTTTGTTTGCTTGTATTATTCAATAACCAGTATCCTGCTTCTAGCTAATATCATCTAGGACCTCAGTACTTATATGCTGAAATTCTAAGCTGTGTATGTGAGAAGCTTCACGTTTATATAGAATACAACACGGTGTATTCCGTATTGCCCGAGGTACCAGCCCGACCCTCGCCGGATCCGATCCGCGGGAGGGCTGGGACCGAGGGTGATGCGGAATACACCATGTTGTATTTTATTTATGTCATACCCACCCAAGAAAACACGCCTTTTAATGCGAAATGGGCGAACATTTGGTGTCCCTAAACCCAAAACAAAGCACCAACATCAATTCCAACGTCCGAATTTTGTGTTCGAATTTTCGGAAGTGTTGCACGCGGTTAGGGCGAAACACGTTCGAATCGTTCTATGGAACATTTGAAAGCCCCGGGCCGTACGCATTAAGAACCCCCGGGCTGTACCGCTAGTTATCACATGGGCCAGAACACCCGTATCGAACGCAATCGCGGCCCAGGTAGGACATAAATCAGGGTATACCGTTACTGTCTTTTATTCCTATCAATTTGAATAGTGGATTCTGATATATGGACTGATCATGAGATATGTCAGCTTGATGTCAGTTCTACAATCCGTACCAGTAGCCTGTAAATCAAGGTGGACAACCAATAGCTGCATCAGGATTCAAACTAATTAATTTGGTCTAGAGGGAGGATTACTGATCTCTATATATTATACATCGATGTATAATTCACTGCCACAACAGATTAATTATAACAATTTTATTATAAGAAAAATAGTAAAAGGAAGGATTAAACTGGTATGCACGACAAAGTTCTGTAAAGCGTAGAATCTTTCAGACGGCATCCACCATCTTTCTTCAGCTACCGACAAGGGCAGTCACGTGACCCAGAGGTTACAAGGTCAGCACAGGTCATGTGACTGGACAAATGTACATGTGTGTTGTATATGGGGGGGTAGTCGGTGGCGGCCTTCGTCACGGTTTCAAGAAACATGTTTTAGATGATATGCTGACTTAATGCTGCTCTGTGTATTTCTTTCAGAGAATTATTAGAGCAGATCATGGAGCTGGAAGAAAAGGAATTTGCTGGCAAGGCAGCGGTACGTCTCTTGGATGTTTTTTTTATAGACTAGTGAAAACATTTTTGCTGTGGAAAAAATTAAAAAAACAAAAAATGTTTTATCCTTAGTCTGCAGTCATCTAGAAATTAAAGGAGGAAAAAGAAACAGGAATTTAAAGAAAACAGCTTTTGAATTGCTGATTATAGGTTAACTTTATTGTGGCTTTGTAAATTTGAAAAGTGATTAGTACATATTAAAATATTAATAATGTATGTTTATGTTTATAGAACACAAAGCCATCGTTTGACTCCAAAGCCTCCAAACTGGAACCCCTGAATGAAGGAGGAGGGGCAGCACTGCTACATATGGTAGGGTCAAAGTTCAGAGGTCCTTCCTGATGGTAAATGTTTTACTTCCTGATGGTAAAGGTCATAGGTTAATCTGTTACCCATTGACTGGAATATTTCCAAGTACATTATGTTTTGTTCAAACTTTTAACCCTAGTCCTGTGGTGCCAAACAATTGTTGGGTTGCATTTACTGGTACAGTACCATCCATAGAGCACCTTGTAAAATGTACGATTTGGGGGTATTTCGCATGGAACGCATCATACTGCAATGAAATGCAACAAATGTGGAAATAGCTATGCCACTGCAGGCCCTAGGGCAAAAAAAAAGTCAGGGGTCTATGACCTGATTAAGACATCAAATTCCTGAAAAATATTGTGTAAAAACACCAGCAGGACAAGGGTTAAGAAAAACATGTTGGTTTTGATGTTACTGTTGCAAAAATTCTGTGTTAGGCCACAGCAAGTAATTTTTATGGATGACATCAGGGCGCGCATTAATTTTTGAAAAAAAAAGAAGAAATTTGTTGCCTTCTGACAGTGGTCAACATGCCGAAAATGGGCTAAGGTGTCTGTTGCCATGCCGGAAGGTGGATGACAGATAACTATGAAGAGAGGAGACAGACAAGGCTCTGATATAATGTTTTGTTTCTTATAATTACTGTGATGCAGTGATATGTGATGTTGGCTGTGTATATGTGATGTTCCCACTGAATCAAAACCATTTGTACAATGATTGAGTCAAAATGTCAAATTGTAGGAACCTTGTTTTTTTCGGCCCGTCTTGTTCTTTTTTCGCCCTCTCGCATTAGATTTGGAGTCTGCGGAGGATGTCATCCATAAAATTTGCTTGCTGTGGCTTTATGTTGATTTTATTGTGCATTAAATATCCCTTGATAGGACATTTTCTTTTCTTTTCTTTTTCCAGGAAATCGAGCGTTTGAAAGAAGAGAATGAAAAGCTGAGGGAACGGATGAAGTCAGTGGAACAAAGAGCCACAGGTGTGCTGAAGGATAAGACAAGACTAGAAGATGAGCTGAGTCAGACACAGGTGAACATTATCAATGACATCTACGGGGAATATTCATGGCTTTTGAAAAGTTATTAGTATTAGGCAACACCAATTTAATTTGTTGGTTCTTTGATTTTTCCAGAAAAAATATGAAGCAACAGGGCAAAAAGAAAAACAGGTCTAATGCTACGAAAGGAGCCATAAAGTCAACATAAAGGCTTGATCTATATCTAAATAATGAATTTTGAACTCTTATTAGTCTTAATCAAACAACTGCATTGATAGATGGAAAAACTGTAACAAGTAGGAAGAAAAGGACTTTCCAGAACTGTTGGCGGCAAAATATGAGCATTTTTGAGTTGATTCCGAACCAGAATCTTTGTTTTTTTGCAAATCAGAAGAGGCGAATCCGAGACCAACAAATTAAATTGGTGTGGCCTTAATACATGTTTGTATTGAATCTGCATCCAAAAGAGAAAGCTGTGGACGTACTGACCACTAAGTATCTGATACCAGCCCAGAAAAGAACAAGAAACAGTCATGCTTTTAAATATCAGAGATATCAACCAAGAATTGAGGTGTTCAAAAACTTTTCCAGAACTATCGTAGAGTTAAACTCCTTGCCACCAATTTGCAAGCACGGTTAGGGCATCATCACTAGGAAGCTTTAAACTTTAACTCTTACAATTAAATGTGCAAAGATTGGGTGTAACAGGTCATTTGGCATAATTTAGTGCCTGCCAAGCTGGTGTGTTATTAATTAATATTTTTACGCTGAAGGGCAATTATACCGGCTATAATATAATATTATACAGATCTGATACAAAATGATACAGAAGCAACTGGATAGATTTTGAAAGCTGTCAGACATTTTAAGTATCATCCAATACTTTTTATCAGTTACTGATACAGGCTATTTTAAATGTCCAGGCCTCGAAATTAACTTTTTTTACTACTGTCCCAGAATTGTCCCGAATGTTTATTTTAATTGTCCCGAACTGAAGATAGACTGTCCCAGCCTGCTCTTCAGGAAATAAGTTTATGACTAGAAATAAGAAAACATCAACAACTGACTTTGTACAACTTGAAGTCCACTTAATTATTAGTAAATGTAGGGAAATACATGATAATATCATGGCAGGCCCCCCTCCCCGATATTTGGAATCCCTCATTGGTCAAATTTAAATGTTTGTCAGAGTATTATGGGCTGCCGGCAGTCTGCAGCATGATTTGTAGATCGCGTTCCTAAATGACGTGGACGGTCTCAGAATTTTCCAATTGCCCCGAAATTGTCCCGAAACGTAATTTGAATTGTCCCGAGCTGAAAATTTAGTGTCATTTGACACTGGGACAATGTTAATTTCGAGCCCTGATGTCTAACAGTTTTCAAAATCTATCCAGTTGCTTCAGTAACAATTTCCTTGTGTATCTCATTACATGTACCTTGATATCTAACCTCCATTGACCAATGTTTAGGTTGTGAAGTTTAAATGAAAGACAGTGTCCATTGTTATATCTTTTTTTGTCTTTTAGGATGCTCTTGGCCAGGCAAGGACACAAAAATCTGATAACTCTGGAGACTTCTCTGACCTGGAAGCACAGATGGCAAAGGTGAAGATGGAGATGTCACAGGTGAGGAAGTTACTGGAAGTTTGAACTCCTGCAAAGTTGAATGAAACAAGGGCGGTGTTAAAAAGCGCACTGGCGACGTTAGGTCTTTGTAATTTTTAATATTTTCAACTCAGCAGTACTATTCTAATGGCTCTGCCACTGAGGGCATTGACAATATTATAGCACAATGAACAATCTGTTTGTCTGCAGTTTTCCCAGCATCTTTATTTTTACAATAAGGCCATGTTGATTTGATTATATGGACGACATCCGCGTGCGCATTAATTTTCGGCCGTTTCCAAAAAAAAAAAAGTTTTCAACCATACTGTAAATCGTACAAAACAGTTGCAAAATGAGCAAAAATATACCATAAGTTTAAACAAAAAAATTAATAAAAACTACCAATGTCGTAGAATGCCAAAATCAAACGAAAAAAGACGAAATTGTAAAGAAATAAACTTGAAGACTAGATTATTCGGCAAACCATATTCTGTGCCATTTGCTCAACCCTCATGACCACGTAGATTTCATAATGAAATGAACTTTTTTTTTTGCAAAACTTTTTTTTTATTCGCACGCGCGCATCAGTTTTGGGGCTCACGGAGGATGTCATCCATATAATCAAATCAACATGGCCTAAGCTTAACATGAAACTGAAAAACAACATCTCTAGAAAGCTTTGATTTGAGTTGTTTAAAAATGTGCAAATAGTAGCAAGTCATTTGGTATAATGTACATGTATCAAGGTGCCGCCGTGCCGCATGCCTGCAAAGCTGGTGTGTTACGGCTATGCAGATACAGATACAGAACATTGCTTTTGATGTGTGTAAATGTGTATGTGCCTGCTCTCATGACAACATTTTGTGTTCCCTGTCTGCAGGGCCTGGATGCTAAAACGTTGGAGGCTAAGAGTTTAGAGGGAGATTTAATCAGCACAAAGCACAAACTGTTAGAGGTACAGGAGCATCTGGAAATGGCAGAGAAGGTGAGATCTTTGTACATTAACCCTATTGGTTAATGTTCAGTCTATGATGCTTAAAGCTGTAACTAATAGTATGTAATTTTAGATTTTACATTCATCATTGGTTGCTAAGAGTTTTAGACATAGCATTATGCATTCAAATGCTTCCAGGACAAGTTCTATTAAGTTATAGATGTATATTATGTTATATAGATATATAGATATGGATAGATAGAGATAGATAGAGATAGATACAATAGATATATAGATACTAGATTAGATAGATACAATAGATACATGTAAATGGCTGAACATTTTGTTTTCCTTCTCTTGTGTATTTAAGGAGTTGGACAAGAAGTTCCAGGAGACAGGTGCTTATAAGAACATGAAGAAGATGCTGACTCAAAAGAACGACCAGATTAAGGACTTAAGAAGACGTCTCAGGCAGTAAGCAAACCAAACTTTTTCTTTTCTGTTTCAAGTGATCCCCGCAAATAATTATTTCTCTTAATGGACCTTTTGTCAGACCAGAGTAAATAATTCTCCATCCATCTCTTTCTACCTATTTTTCCATTCCCCCCCTCTTCTGCCCCCTCCATCAGAGATTCAAACACTTGGGATGTTCCAAAAATGACTACAAAAAACATAGCCTCCTGTGCAGGCTCCGGGGCAGGTGGGAATTTTGATACAGCATTTTTAAGGGTTTTTAACGCATTCTTTTATTAGCCAGCCATCCATAGAAGGTTCCATTCCGCCCACTAGTGGAATGGAACCTTCTCTCGGCAGCTGGTTGTAGGATAGCCGGCTATTAAAATAACGTGTTAAAAACACTTCAAAATGCTGTATCAAAATCACCCACCCCGGAGCCTGCACAGGAGGCTATTAGTATTACAAAACGGCCCTCTCTTGTTTGCAGGTATGAATCTGATGATTGAAGAGGCTGTGCCTTTAGATGACGTGATGGTAACAAATCATCGGGACATCGGAAAAACCTGCTTCACTCGACTGCACGGTGGAACTTATTTTTGACAATTGAATTAGGCTAAGGGTAGTAAGGCCACATGGACTTAATTTTATGGATGACATCTGCGCGCGCATTGATTTTCGCCTGTTTAAAAAAAAAAGAAAAGAAAGAAAGATCACGTCCACCGAGGCTCTGGCTTGGCTCTAGGCCTGGGTTGTCCATGGTACATGTAGTTAGCAACAATAAGGAGCCGGGCACCCAGGCTACCGAAGCTCCACGACTCAAGAACTCCGTACATACGTACAGTGCCGATTCATAAATTCCGCAAAAAGCCAGCATGTGCTGGCTTATCAGATATGTCGCTAAGTACTGCCGCAAATTCACAATACCAGCAATTCCTGTGGTTTAGTAGCATTTTTATTTTTGGCCGGAATTTTTTTGTATTCGCCCGCGCGCACTAGTTTAGGGGTCTTCAGAGGATGTCATCCATAAAATTAAGTCGGTCTGGCCTAATAGTAGATTTTATCTTGAATCTGTTGTACATTTGACAAGGAAAGTGAACTTAGTAGATATTTACAAGTGCACAGAACTTAGTGGCATTGTGGTCCAGTAAGAAATGTTATGTACATGTACATGTGCCCTGTCTAAAGGAAGCCTTAATAAGAAATGAATATTAAGAAAATATAAAAAATGATTATCATATTGTCTGGCTTAGATGTATAGACTGAGATAATCAGTAATTAGAATGCATGTGGAACAGTTTTTTTTTCAAGAAATTTTGTAAAAGATTATGTAGCTTTGTTAATAATGTATAATTAAGTAATTGTAGATGCCAGATATGCACATTGTGATACACTTATTGTGAGACTGTGAGTGTTGTTAGATGATTTCCGTTAGTATTTTCTTCAAAATGTAGTTTCTTCAAAAAGTCATGCAGTAAATGACCTACCCTGCCAATACCTTGTCCATTTGAAAGAGGCAATATTATAACAGCGTTCAGATGATGAAGCCTGAACTTCCGGGTATAGAAGTATTGTTTTGGGTGGCAGAGCTGTGGGTTTGTGTATCTGTTTGTCTGAGACAGAGTAGGTTGAAAGCACGTGGGTGAGAGAAATATTGACAGGCAAATTGAAAGTTCTCAGAATCTGGCCGTGAGCCAGCAGGAATTAGGGGTGGACATGGGGGGAATTCAGGAAGCAAAAGTCCCTGTCACACATTCACGAACTTCCCTCGGATTCATTCCCAAACATCAGATGAACAGGTTGGCTGGTGTATCTTTCTAAACAAATCGAAACGAATCTGAGTTAAATTGGAGTTAAATTTGATCCATGAACACGCCCCAAACCATGCTGACTTACTCCCAAATGGTTGTCTGGTGTTTTGCTGAATTACAGTCAGAAATCAGCCAACTATGATCATACTAGTACCTCCTGAACACCTTACAAATGTTTGAAACATTTTGAAATATTCGGCGCCGACCCTCTATACCGTGGTCAGTGGGTGTTTGGGTAGCGTTTGGGAGGCTGAATTCGTGAATGTGTACATGTGTCAGGGGCTTACAATGTAAGTCCACACCAATTTAATTTGTTGGTTCTCAGATTCGCCTCTTCATTTTTTTCTGATTTGCACAAAAAAAATAATAATAATCTGGTTCTGAATCAACTCAAAAATGCTCATATGTTGCCCCCAACAGTTGAGGAAAGTCCTTTTCTTCCTTAGTTATTACAGTTTTTCCATCTATCAATGCAATGGTTCGATTAAAGTTCAAAATTCATTGTCTAAATGTTAACCCAGACTTTTGTGTTGACTTCATGGCTCCTATCATTATCATAGCACTTAGGGCTATAATAGGATGCCCAGACCTGTTTTTATCTTTTTTGCAATTGCCCTGTCGCTTCATATTTTTTCCAAATAATCCGAGAACCAACAAATTAAATTTGTTTGGTCTAAGTTTTGCATACATCCTGGAAGTCTTGAAATCTCCACTTTCTTGTTTGGTGTTCATGCTCCCTTGCAAGAAGTGCTGTCATGTAACTGCTTAAAAAAATATGATTTATGATTCAAATCATATCAAGAGGTAAAATATTAATATGATTTTTTGCATAATCCTTGTAACTAAACAGTCGGTGTTTAAACTCGGAACATTCCATTGCTAATGCTGATTGTCATTTTGAAAGATGTGAATGGTCAAAATGGTCACCTGTCCCAGTGTATTGTAGATTTATTCTCATATGTGAAGTATATTATTAACTACTACTTCTGAATCAGTATTTAATGTCTACTAGATAAACTGTTTACAATGAGACTGTTTTCTTGTACATTTCACTATGAGATTTGTTTTGAGGGGGGTAAAGATTATGTGTACTTCTCCAAAATGTTCAAAATCTTCTCAAATTTTATTGTTTAAAAGATGAAATACTAATATGCAAATTTGGGTCTATCTACCAACTACATGTAGTTAGTACTGTTAGTAACAGTAACAGTACTGTTGTGACATAAGACTTTCAGGTAAGACTGTGTATCTGTAACACTGTGTGTCTACTCCAAGCTTACATGCATTCATTAGACTAAGTGTAATTAAGTGTAAACCTCACCCTTCAGTTTAATATGCTGCAACTACCATGAAGAAAACAAAAAGTTGTATACTGTTAAAACTCCACACAAAAAAAACACATCTAGGCCACACCAATTTAATTTCTTGGTTAACGGATTCGACGCTTCATTTTTTTCTGATTTGCAAATAAAAATAAAAATCCAATACCAACTGCAAAATGCTCATTTTTTTGCCCTGAACAGTTGAAAACAGACCTTTTCACCCTAGTTGTTACAGTTATTACATCTTTCAATGCAATGGTATCATTAAAAGTTCAAAACGCTGTTTAAATTTTGAACCAGCCTGGTGTGTTGACTTCATGGCTCCTATCGTACCATTTTGGGCCATAATTCGATGACTAGGCCTGTTTTTATTTTTATTTTTTTTCGCCCGCCCGCTCCATTATTTTTCTAGAAAAATCCTTTAACCAAGAAATTAAATTGGTGTGGCCTTAGTATCTGTTAATGTTAGAGGCCATCAGTTGAAAAGATGTGTAAAAAAAAAACTAAAAAGTTGATTTTTGCTGCTTTTTTAAGTCACAGACATAGACACAAAGCCTGAAACTTAGAGTTGATTTTTCTGTACATTCCTAACGACTAATATAATAGGACGCTTCACTTGCTGCTCAAGTCGACCATGACACGTAACTTCAAGGGATAGTCATAGAACTGTTGGAAGCACGTTACCAAATAAAGTTGACCAGTTCATCTGTGTTTTTGTCGCTTTTCTTCAGCATTTTAACAGTGGGGTTCAAGCACCACTAACTGATCCTTTCCAATGGGTCCGGACCTTTGGAATAGTCGTTAGCGCACTAGCTGGTGTCGTAAGCTAGCAGCCCGGGGTTCGGTGCAGGTTCGATTCCCAGCATCCCGGTTTCTTCTCGATCCTATTTGTTTCAGCATGGCTAAATGAACTGACAGAATTATCACGTCTGACAGAATTATCACATCAAAGAACTAGGAGAACCAGCTGAACATAACAAGGACTCCTATAAAGGAGTGTCATATACATAAGGCCACACCAATTTGATTTGTTGGTTCACGGATTCGCCCTCCTTAATTTTTTTTATTTGCAAGAAAAAAAGATTCAGGTTCTGAATCAACTTCAAAATGATCATATTTTGGCTGAAAGCTTTGAAGAAAGCTCCATCTTCTTAGTAGTATGTAGTTTTTCCATCTTTCAAAGGAATGGTTTGACAAAAAGTTGTGTCCACTGTTTGAATTGTAAACCAACCGGGTATGTTAACTTCATTGCTCCTATTGTAGCATTTATAGGACTTTTATCTTTTACTTTGATGCAGTGATATACATGTATTTCATTCCTTATATCTGAATCAAAACGATTCAAATCTTTAATTTTTCAGGTTGTTTGGTGAGAATTGGATGTTGTGATAGTTGGCAGGAAACTATGTCAAGAATGTCCCAGTTTTCACAATTTAACAAATTACGTAACAAAATGATAACAAGCGACTCTTTAAGTTGCATGGCAAAGATTTTATTATGCAGTTGAAACACACGCCAGTTAAACTTTTTGTTTCTAACCAAATTCAGTACAGAACTAAAATAACATCAAGATTACTCTTTATGATGGTCTTCAACACATGTCATGGTTACTAGATTTTTAAAATGTGCTCTGGGGATAAACAATTGTGTTAACTGAAAGCTGAATCGAAGTGGAGTTAATACAGCAGCTTAAATTGAAAATTGGTAGTAAGTCCGATAGAATCTGATGTAGTTACAGGTAAATCTGCACTATCGACTTATTAAAGCTACGTTATGTAACATTAGGACGATACAAAAAGGAATTTTCCTTGTCATTTCTTTACAAAATAAGTTGAATCAACTAGTAGATATTCTATTGCAAGTAACTGCCATTCAGTGTAAGTGCCAATTTGAAAATATGACGCCTTAGGAGTGCGTTTACATTTTGGTATTTTGTGGTGGTGCCACAAAATGAGTGCACTTTAAGCTTCTGTGCGGTGTTTTATTGCCAACCATAAATGTCAGACATGTGAGATAATTACACAAACATGTTGAAAAGTAGAAGTAAATTACAGTCAAGTGAAGATTTTGGACGAAAAGCCTGATTTCAATTTTTGGTGCAAAAAATGTTACATAAGGCCACACTGACTTAATTTTATGGATGACATTCGCGCGCGCATTGATTTTCGCCTGTTCTCAAAAAAAAAAAAAGAAGTCCTCAGTGGCTCTGTCCTGGCTCTAGGCCTCAGGTAGTTAGCGACAATGCAGAGTCGGTGGTAACTCTGGAGGACGATACCCAGGCTGCCGAAGCTCCACGACTCAAGAACGCAGTAAATACGTACAGTGCCGATCAATAAAATCCGCAAAGTTGAAACGGCCAGCATATACATGTGTCGGCATACATACGTAGCTGTTTACTGCCGCAAATTCACAATACCAGCTTTGTATTCCTGTGGTTTAATAGCATTTTTATTTTTGGCCGGAATTTTTTTTATTCGCCCGCGCGCACTCTTTTGGGGGTCTTCATAGGATGTCATCCATAAAATAAAGGCAGTGTCGCCTAATAACCTGCAATAGAGAGCGTTACTTATCATCAGCATTACAGACCGCAGATGATTGTGGATAACTGGGTGTGGTCAGATTTTAGTAGAGCCAATGCACTTTTAATGGCCTGATTTTCATGGCCACAGACTTCAGCGAGTAACGCCACTTGCGCTGAAAGTGGAACCACAGCAGACCTTTTGTGCCTTGGCAGGAGTTGTCACAGTTGCCCAGGTAGCGGCCGTTGAGGGAGGAGAAGCCGCAACCCTTGAACCACCAGCCTCCGCCTGAGCGCAGTTGAGAACAGTGGCGGCCAGGGCGGTGGTCAGGGTCGTTGTCCCTGTCCAGAGTGGAGAACTTCTCCCCGTTGTTGGAAGCCCTGCCACTAGTCATGGAGTCTCCCGCGTTGCCTGAGTACCCAGAAATTTGCAGCCGGTACCCGTCTGACTCACCGGACACCCTGGATGGGAACACCAAACCACACAATATTAGTTACGAACAACAATCTGCCGTACTCATACATCCCCCCTTTTGTAAACAAAGGAGTTAATAGACCACATACCTCCAAGAAGTATTTTGTTCTGTTTTTTGCCGTGTTACCTCCATGAAAAAGTGGAGGTATCGTTTTGGGTCTGTCTGTGTGTACGTGACTGTGTTTCCACACATTTGTGGCCTTTGTGGATTGCAATACTATGGATGATACATTCCATTCCAAAAAGGCGACGAATAGAAATTTCAAATGTAAAATACATGTAATTTAAGTTAAGAAATGAATAAAAGTAGATCATGCTAATGATCAATACTAACCTAAATGTGTCGTATTCCGCGTAGCACCATCGTCCATCCCATCCCTGCATGTCAATCCTGAGCTTGTAGTTCGTCTGAGTAGTCAGGAGGTGGATGTTCTCGTTCCCAAGCCAGTATTCCCCGTTCTTGTTCCCAAACCCGTGCTTGTACTCCTCCCAGGTCCGGTTGAAGGGAACCGACCCGTCGAACCTCCGTTGGATCACGGTCCAGCCTCCTCCTGTGGGAAAATAATTATAAGCATCGATCATTACTTGAAGAGTTTAGCGCAATGGCACCACATGCAGACGGTACATGTATTTGCACAAGAGGCGGACCCGATGTGGTTGTCCCATCAAAATAGCGGTTTGCCCATACTAAGTGTTCAGACTTTTGCCTTCCTACGTTTCAGTGTAATGTGTTTGCAAGTTTGGGCCGAATTAGGCAGCAAACCGGTCTATTGGTTGGTCTTTGAGGAAGACAAATGTGCACAACATGCCTTGTGTGATGCCATGCTGAGGTCACATTTCCTAAACGGGGTCCGGCCGTGAACGAAAAGTATGAATAAAAAATATAAAAGACAACAAAGCACAAAAAGTTGAAAATAATCAATAATAGGAGCTATTTATGTATATTATTGATACAAGTTGTTGATTTTTCGTTAATCGAAACAGCCCGGCCGGGCCCCGGTTTGGAAAGGTGATCTCAAACCTTAATCGTACTGCTGCCTAACCCCGTAACCAACAGAGAATAACAACGTCAGTGCCCTGTGTATATGACGGACTGAATTTCTACCTGCTGTATCCATGTCACAGTAGACCGTTACACCGGACAGGGGTGAGCCAAGTGTGTAGACTCCACTAGTCGTGCGTCCGGCGGCTTTATATGCAGCACAGTCTGTGGATGCATATGGAGGGTCTGGACAGCTACACTGTAACAAGGCGGCACGTATAAATGTGCACGTGGTGTCAGGAAAAAGTCGTAATGGGACCTACCCTGGAATCCAAACTCGCTGTCCGGGCCGCAAAAGCCCTTCGCCCGCTGGTGTAAATTACCGCTACGGGGGAGTCTAGCCCGGGGGGAGTTTGGCTGATCGGGCTAAACTCCTCCGTAGCGGTAATTTAGGCAGGCGGGCGAAGGGTTCTCGGCTGCCGAAGGAAAAAGGCTAACGGCCCGATACTAGTTTGGCATCCAGGGTAAAGGGGACCGGGCAGGAAAGAACCAGGGCAGGAGCAAATACAAAATAAAATAAGTAAAAGCTGTTCACAGCATCCAATGTCTTAACAATAACGTGACCTGAACACAAGGCCTTTCGTGCATCAGTTGGAATATGTGGAATAAGGGATGACTGCAGTGTTTGGCCAAATTGGCTGGAGTATTAGTCCTCACTACTCTATATATATACTTAGCAGATATGCAATGACTCTGTTGGTATAAAGTGGTGCATTACACGGAGCATTTGTTTGTTACTTTGAAAATTTTAATTGTATATTTACCTGTCCAGGAGGTCCGGGTGGACCGACCGGACCCTTTGGACCGGGCGGGCCTTGTTGTCCGTCCGCCCCGTCTGTCCCTGGGTCTCCGGGCGGGCCTTGTAGTCCGTCCGCTCCGTCTGCCCCTGGGTCTCCAGGCGGGCCTTTCGGACCGGGCAGGCCTTGTTGTCCGTCTGTCCCGTTCCTCCCTGGGTCTCCGGGTGGGCCGACCGGGCCCTGCAGACCAGCCGGGCCTCGTGGTCCGGGTGACCCGTTCCTCCCGGGGTTCCCGTTGTGTCCTTTTGGACCGGGCGGTCCGGGCGGTCCGGGAAATAAGAACCGCTTTTCGTGTTCTAGTTCTAATTTACAAATAACAAACGGCCGCCAGTTAGTATGTAGCCATATTGTCTGGGAGCATTTGAATAAATCCTGATGGGTATCAATGGGTAGTACTGCATGCACACAGAAACTAATACATAGTCATCGCTCGCGCGCGCGCGCACACACACACACACACACACACACACACACACACATACATACATACATACATACACACATAATATTATACAAACACACACTCGCATACAAATATCCAGGCAGACACACACAGGCAGGCATAACATTGCAAACTTTATTTACAGAACACACTGTACCTTCAAGCTCATTGTCCAACGTGTCCCTCTTGGATCTGCGGTGCACCTCCGTACTTTTCCCCAATGTGGCGCTGTGATCTTCAGTTGAGCGCACGTCGTCAGGTGGGGCCTCGGGGCTGATCGGCGCGGTCTGTTAACAAGGCAACTGTCTTTCCGTTACCGAGAACAACTAATAATGCTCCACAACCTCGATCGGACGTCATGCTCACTGTGACGTCATTGCCAGAAAATCTAATTGAATTAAGGCGACAGAAAAAATTGAATTAACTGGCCCCAACATCAGAACAGTGTACGTAGTTTCTGGTTCAAACGTCTTTGCTTTTTTTTTGTCGTTGTAATTTTGAAGAATACATGTACCTATCACGTTTGACTATTTTCGTGAACTGTTGTAGTTTAGTGTTCTCGGTGCCATGTGGTCTTTAAGGCTTGATGTAAAATAAAATCATCCTCACCTTGTCCTCAGCCTCCTTGTCTTGCTTGAACAGCGTCAGGAGCACCTGGTCCCTCACGTAGGTTTGCAGTTCTTCGCGCAGATCTGTCTGGAACGCCATTTGTTGATCCCGGATGGAGGCTATCTCCCGCATCATGAACACCAGGGTGACGAAACTCACCACAACCGCGACCCCGGACAGCGCCATGGAGATCCCGTAGATCCGCCGGTTTCCTCCGTGGCGGCCTACAGAAACGTCCGGAGCTGCCTCTCCGTTTGGGAACAGCTTCTGGGACGACATCTTCGAGAAACCTGAGCAGAAAATGAAGCAAATGGAGTTATTATTTTTGGTCTCCCCCGGCCTATGTATGTTTGAGTTTTGAGCACGAAACAATACCGTAAAATAACGAGCTTCCTGGAACGACCAGACCTATATATACCCGCTTTTCTCTCTGATACACCTGTGGACGAAGTTCACCCAAGGTTTTGTCTACATCTACAACAAGTTTCGCAAAATCAAAGTAGAGAGGCCGCCGGACCTGAACATATCTCCTCATTAACTAGTTTGCGCGAATTGTCGGAACTACATGAGAGTGACGCAAAAAAGGGGGGCAACCCAAACCGTTCAACCTACTGCGACAACTACGAAGTTTGACCTCTTTTGCATTACTACTGGCGTGCTACAGACCAGCATATGAAGTAGTCGCCCCGGCGCACAGGGCAAGGATTCGGACTACCCCGAGAAAGAGCGTGTCGGATAATACTTGGCCCTGATAAGAACACAGACGCAAACTGGGCCTGTTCACACTAGACGTCCGACGTCGATCTGTGTTACAACTTTGTAAAACGACTTTTTGAGACAAAGACATCTTCAACTTTCCGCGTCGACTTCAAGAAACACTTGAAAACAGTGATAATCAATGCAGAAGGGGCCAACCATGCTGTATTAAGTCAGATCCAGTCCCGCAAATTAAAGTGATTGTATGTATGAGATATGCTGTTAGACGCACAGTTGCATTCAGTAAGCCATTTGTACACTTCTCTTTGGTAGAAGACAGAAGGCCTGCCGTCTAAAATATATTTGGGCAGAAGAAGGGCAGTAATTAAGTAAAATTGATAGGATGTATCAAATACAGTAAAAGTAACCGAAAGAATAATGAAAAATAATCAAAGTTTCCACTTACCGCTGTAGTAGTGCCCAGACGCGGCGTCAGGTCACTCGTGCTTGTCGGTGGCTGGAAGACAAATCGCCGCGAGGCTGACGGTCGAAATGAGTAGACCAGGCGAGAGCCGTCTTATATAGCAGAGACACAGGATGTTAGTCAAAGGTGGTAGACGCGTAGAGCCCACGCTTTCCCAGAAAAATATCATGCAGCGTGATGTCCTGACGATCATGTTCACATTAAGTTGTCAACAATTGGACATGGTCTCTGCACAAGCGATCACGCAAAGATAATTTCTTCATAACTTCAGGTAGTGCCAACATTTTTATCTGGTCTGTAACGGTCATGACCTTCCTGTCACTGTTTGAACTTGTCAACACTGTTGTTAGTTGGATATGCTCTCTGCACAAGCGATCACGCAGACACAACCTGTTTATACCCCCAGGAACTACCGTCATTGTTACCTGCTCTGTCACTGTTTGAACTTGTCAACGATTTTACATGCTCCCTGCACAAGCGATCACGCAGACATAACCTGTTTATACCCTCAGGAAGTACCGTCATTGTTACCTGCTCTGTCACTGTTTGAACTTGTCAACGATTTTACATGCTCCCTGCACAAGCGATCACGCAGCCATAATTTGTTCATAACCTGAGGTAGTGCCGACATTTTTACCTGCTCTGTTTGAACTTGTCAACACTTTTATTAGTTTCTAAGTGATTTCTGCATAAGTGATCACGAAGATGTAATTTGTTAATAACTTCAGGTAGTGCCGACATTTTTACCTGATCTGCCATTGTTTGAACTTGTCAATACTGGCCATGGCCATGGTGTTGACAAGTTCAAACAGATAATATAGTTTGTTCATACCTTTTGTTTGTTCATTTCCACAGTAAATTCTCAGTGGAACTTCACTCGCTAGTGCCTCCACTTCGAACTTTCTCAGCAAGGACACGTTTTGCCACTTCCACTGAAGCAAATCAACCTCTCTTCCTCCACACAGCTTCTTTCCCAGAACAACATCACTATGGAACAAGCTACCACGTGATTGCTTCCCAAATGGGTATAACTCAAACTTTTCGAGTCAAAGGCCAACAAACATCTGTCCTCACTGTCCAGTACAGTAACCCAAAACATTTGAGTGGCTCTCATGAACCTTGTTTTGAACTTGAACTTTATTCATCAAAATAACATTGCAGGCCGAAACAGCCTGAATTGTGTTGTAAATTTCATGTACATTCATATTAACAATAACAATTGTAACATTTTAGCGTTAAAAGATTAAGTGTTAAAAGAAGTATATCCGATAATGACGTATTGTAAAAAATATCGATAACACATTAAAATACAGACAATAATTTAGTGGAACAAGTACAAGGAGGCAATAAATTTTTTTTATAAAAGTCTATAGTGTCCTTCAGATTTTTTAAAAAGTCTATAGTGTCCCTCACTGCTGCAAGATGTTGAGTGATCTGGGGATAAATGATTGTCTATGTCTCTCTGTACGGCTAAGTGGGATCTTGTAGCTGGAAGTCTGACGGCGTAGTTGGTAGGTTGTCCGTCTACCCGGCTTAAGGAACTGCTGGCAAGGGTGAGTGTCATCCGCCATCACCCTCCTGAGTTCACGTACGGATACCTCACGTCTCCGCTCCTCCAGGGTCGGCAGTTTGTGGTGAACATGAAGTAAATTTAAAAAAAAGCATTTTACGTGCTCTGCCACTGTTTGAACTTCTCAACGCTGTTGTTATTTGGAAATGGTCCCTGCACAAGCGATTACGCAAAAATGATTTGTTCATAAATTCAGGTAGTGCCAACAATTTTACGTGTTCTATCATTGTTTGAACTTTTCAACACTGTTCACTGTTGTTAGTTGTAATTGTTCTCTGTACAAGTAATCACGCAGTTCTCATGGGAAATTCAAACCCTACTACTGGACATTTTTATATGTATTCCAACATGTACTCACAAGACGTGGTGACGGCACACTCAAGTTTTTACCTTCGCCAAGACGGTTATGTTTTCAGTAGCGTTTGTCTGTGTGTGTCTGTGTGTGTTTGTGTGTGTTTGTGTGTGTGTGTGTGTGTGTGTGTGTGGTTTAGCAAGATAACTCGAGAAGCAGTGGATGGATTGAAATGAAACTTGGTAGGTGGGTAGGTCTTAATGAGACCTAGAAATGATTAGATTTTGGGCCCCCCGGCGGCTTTCCTAGGTCGTGATTTTGGTATGTAGGTAGTTGAAGTGATGCTTGACATAATCAGATGGCAATTATGCAAATCAGGAGCTAATTTGCATAATTAATGAGGAAATTCTATAAATCTGCTTTGTTCGATAATAGAACTATGAAACACTTGTGACATCTACTTGAGAACGAGAAAAACATGAGGATATAGATTATGTAAATGAGGACCTAATTTGCATAATTAATGGAAAATTCTTATAATTCCATAGTTGTAACTGCTGCACCCCGAATTTCATACTTGCCACATTTGGAAGTTAAGTGAAGGTGAACATCAATAAACATAATATATTCAAATCATGACCTCATTTGCATAATTTATGAGGAAGCGCTATAATAGCCTTTTTGTTATGATAAGGCTGTCATTGGATGGAGAATATGATCAACTGATATAATCCATGTAAATGAGGCTCTTATTTACAAAATCAATGATTAAACTTGTATAATTCGTCACCCGCAAGGGTTAACATCATTTGGCGAAGGTATGAGATCGTGGAACTCTTGTCGGTATATGTAAAGGAGATAAGGTAGTTGTGGTACGGGCGCGGTGTTAAGGAGGCCATCTACGGACGGATCTACACCCCTAGCCTGAACCGGAAGGGAGGATATGCATGTAGAACTCTCGAGTACATGAGCCCCCGCCCTGCCACAACCTAAGGGACAGTAGCAGTTCCTTTGTTGTTGTCTTACCATAGGAACTACCTTTAGTCTCCTTTACGTATAATATCAATGACTATATGGGTTTTTGTCATGGTCAACTGTTTTTTCAGTTGCTCCATTATATTGTCAACGCGCTCTGTTAGTTCATTAGTGAAGCTGAAGATCTAGAGTAATGGATGTCACCCGAAACGTCCGGAATTTATTCGCCGTAATTTATCCAGTAGTAGAGTTTGAATTTCCTATGAGTATTGTTTACCTGCATGTCTAACCTTGATCAGCAGATCACGCAGTTTGTTCATAAATTCAGGTAGTGCCAACATTTTTACGTGCTCTGCCATTGTTTGAACTTGTCAACACTGTTGTTAGTTGGACATGGTCTCTGCACAAGCGATCACGCAGTTATACTAGTCGGTTTGTTCATACCTTTTGTTTGTTCATTTCCACAGTAAATTCTCCGCGGAACTTCACTCGCTAGTGCCTCCACTCCGAACTTTCTCAGCAAGGACACGTTTTGCCACTTCCACTGTAGCAAATCACCCTCTCTTCCTCCACACAGCTTCTTTCCTAGAACAACATCACCATGGAACAAGCTACTACGTTATTGTTTCCCCAAATGGGTATAACCTCAAACTTTTCGAGTCAAAGGCCAACAAACATCTGTCCTCACTGTCCAGTACAGTAACCCAAAACATTTGAGTGGCTCTCATGAGCCCTGTTTTGTGGTGAACATGAAGTAAATAAAATAAAAAAATCTTCAGATATAGTGCCGACATTTTACCTGCTCTGCCATGCCACTGTTTGAACTTCTCAACGCTGTTGTTAGTTGCAAATAGTCCCTGCATGCACAAGCGATCACACAAAGATAATTTGCTCATAAATTCAGGTAATGCCAACATTTTTACGTGCTCTGCCATTGTTTGAACTTGTCAACACTGTTATTAGTTGTAATTGTTCTCTGTACAAGTAATCACGCAGTTTTCATGGGAAATTCAAACCCTACTACTGGATATTTTTATATGTATTCCAACATGTACTCATAAGACGTGGTGACGGCACACTCAAGTTTTTTCAACTTATATTAATGCCACCACCAACACGGGACTATACAATACTCATTTTCACCTGAGCGAAGTGAGGAAAGTCGTTTTAAGTGCCTTTCCCAGGGGCACAAGATCGGTGGCATGTCAGGACTCGAACCCGGGACCCCTGGTTCCGAGTCGAGCGCTCTGCCGCTACGCCATACGATCCCACTGATACTGGATAAATTACGGAAAATATAAAATTCAGGACGCGAGTGACATCCACCAGTTTTCTTCAGCGTTACTAATGAACTAACAGTAACAGAGCGCGTTGACAATATATAGGAGCAACTTGAAAAACCAGTTGAACATGACAAAGACTCATATAGTCATTGGTATATGTAAAGGAGATAAGGTAGTTCCGGGCGCGGTGTTAAGGAGGCCATCTACGAACGGATCTACAACCCCTAGCCTGAACCGGAAGGGAGGATATGCATGTAGAACTCTCGAGTACATGAGCCCCCGCCCTGCCACAACCTAAGGGACAGTAGCAGTTCCTTTGTTGTTGTCTTACCATAGGAACTACCTTTAGTCTCCTTTACGTATAATATCAATGACTATATGGGTTTTTGTCATGGTCAACTGTTTTTCAGTTGCTCCATTATATTGTCAACGCGCTCTGTTAGTTCATTAGTGAAGCTGAAGATCTAGAGTAATGGATGTCACCCGAAACGTCCGGAATTTATTCTCCGTAATTTATCCAGTAGTAGAGTTTGAATTTCCTATGAGTATTGTTTACCTGCATGTCTAACCTTGATCAGCAGATCACGCAGTTTGTTCATAAATTCAGGTAGTGCCAACATTTTTACGTGCTCTGCCATTGTTTGAACTTGTCAACACTGTTGTTAGTTGGACATGGTCTCTGCACAAGCGATCACGCAGTTATACTAGTCGGTTTGTTCATACCTTTTGTTTGTTCATTTCCACAGTATCTATAGATTCTCCGTGGAACTTCACTCGCTAGTGCCTCCACTCCGAACTTTCTCAGCAAGGACACGTTTTACCACTTCCACTGAAGCAAATCACCCTCTCTTCCTCCACACAGCTTCTTTCCTAGAACAACATCACTATGGAACAAGCTACCACGTGATTGTTTCCCCAAATGGGTATAACCTCAAACTTTTCAAGTCAAAGGCCAACAAACATCTGTCCTCACTGTCCAGTACAGTAACCCAAAACATTTGAGTGGCTCTCATGAGCCCTGTTTTGTGGTGGAAAAGAAGTGAATGAATAAAAAACCCTTCAGGTATAGTGCCGACGCTTTTACCTGCCACTGTTTGAACTCAGTCTCAACGCTGTTGTTAGTTGCAAATGGTCCATGCACAAGCGATCACACAAAGATAATTTGCTCATAAATTCAGGTAGTACCAACATTTTTACGTGCTCTGCCATTGTTTGAACTTGTCAACATTGTTATTAGTTGGACATGGTCTCTGCACAAGCGAACACGCAGACATAATTTGTTTATAAATTCGAGTATTGCCAACACTTTTATCTGCTCTGTAACGGCCGGGACCTTTCTGTCACTGTTTGAACTTCTCAACGCTGTTGTTATTTGGAAATGGTCCCTGCACAAGCGATCACACAAAGATAATTTGTTCATAACTTCAAGTTCAGGTAGTGCCAACAATTTTACGTGCTCTGCCATTATTTGAACATGTCAACACTGTTGCTAGTTGGATATGGTCTTTACACAAAGTGATCACGCAGACATAATTTGTTCATACAGTCAGGTAGTGCCAATATTTTTATCTTTGACCTTTCTGCCACTGTTTGAACTTGTCAAACACTTGTTGCTAATCGGAAATGGTCGCTGCACAAACGATCGCGCACTTTGTTCAAAACCTCATCTAGTGCCGACAATTTTACCTGCTCTGCCACTGTTTGAACTTGTCAACACTGTTGTAAGTTGAAAATGTCATAAATGATCTCTGCACAAGCAAACACGCAGACATAATTTGTTCATACCAAGGTCGTTAAATAATTACCTCCTTGTTCCTACCTTCCGACATTTTTACTTGCTGTGCCGCTATTTGAACTTGTCACTGTTTGAACTTGTTGTTAGTCGGAGTCTCTGCACAAATGATCACGCAGACATTCTCATGATCACCTGCTCTGCCACTGCATGTAGCTGTTTGTATTCATGACATTCCAAGTTCGAATGGAAGCTCATCTGTGTTGGTAGAATCCATATCTGTAAACAGGTTGTGTATATAAACCTGCTTTCCCCTCTGGTCTCTCAGTCACTGACGAAAGCTAGTGGATACTAGCTGAAACGTCTGACGTTTTCAAAATCATATCCAGGTGCTTGAGTAACTGTTTTTTGGCACATATCTGTAAAGTTCAAGCTTTGTTCCAACACAAGAAAGGAACTCCCGATAAATTCCGTCCTCCCGACACATTTGATCACTCCTGACGTCATCACGCTTCCGATTTCCGGAGATTCAGCAGTGCATCACACATCTGACGAATTCACCAATTTCACACTTCCCATAATGCGTAGTAAAGATCACGGATATGACGTAAGAAGGGGATATACGTAATGCGACCGTGCGAGTAGGAGAGTCTTCGGTATAGAGGCAGAACGATAGAAGGTACGTCATTTTCTCTAAAGAAGGTACGCCATTTTCTCTAATTCCAACAAAAATGCAATTATGGCATGCGCTTTGTACTTGATAATAATTCAAAACAATATATTGACCAGTTTGCCGATAGAACTGTTGGAAATATTACCTCCGGAGGAAGGGGGAGGGGTGGTCTTACGTCATTTCCGTGATCTTTACTAGGCATTATGGGAAGTGTGAAATTGATGAATGGTGACGAAATCAACCGAAAATGTATGGTGAGTTCCTTTCTTGTGTTGGAAGAAAGCTTGAACCTTACAACTATAGACATTCCAAATTCTTGTGTGATTCCTCTGGCAATATTTTATCCATAACACATAAAACAAATAAGCAGGCAACTTATTTCCATGCAACTACTTCAAGAGAAAAACAGAACAACAGTACTAAAAGAAAGACAAAAACACAAATAAATTTTCCTCCATTCATATTTTACTTGGCACTCCAAACCAAGAAGAGATATGAATATTAAAACCTCACGTTTCTGTAATAACTACATGTAAACAGCATTTGTTAACCCATTATTGCCGTCCACTGGGGTTCTCTTTACTTTGTATTCTTGGCAAACGGCATGTTTTCACTATCATATTCGCACAAAACATCATTGTACATAATATATATCAGATTCTGTACACAAGTGAGATCTTTTGTCATGTTCATTTACTCCTCTACAACAATTCATTATCTGTAACCACTGTAATAGCAAAGCTACAAGTTTTGTTAAATTCCTTTTTTTTCAGCACCACCAAAAAAAAAAAACAAGTTACACATATTGGTGGTGTTATTATACCAGAAGACTAGTGTATATTGTACAGTTACTCATTCGTCATATCAGTATGTCAACAATAACAGATTGTATAACTTCAGGTAATGTTAGCTAGTGATATTGCATTATCAACTGGACAATATACTTGATATACTAGTATATTAGCAATTAAATCTTCGATGTTCATCAGTTTCCTCTTTACAGGGCATAAACAATATAGCTTGATATTGCATTTATTGCAAAAATTGCATTTATTTGAGCTACACATACATGTGTATATGGCAAGGCATTTTGGTCCCTATACAGTAGCTGTTGACGATTCTACAAGTTAGCATGGAAACTAGCACCAAACTACTTAAAAGTAAAATCTATGAGTTTATCTATTTCATATTGAATATTGTATTAAAGATCTGATTCAATACATTTAAGAGCAAGAAGACCAATTTGGGGCCACGGTATAAGTCAGTTATTTCATGACAATTTAAGGGGGCAAGATAGCATTTTGCAAAAGATTGACTGTATTACATTTTTGTATAATGCCATAATTTTATAAAGTGTAATATCATTTTTAAAATCAGCCCTTGCTGGTGTTGCTTTTTTCTTTTTTTGACACTATCTTTGGGGAAACAACTACACCTAAATTACAAAATACTTTATTGCATATTCCCTCACAACATTGAATTTTTGCCTTACATTACCAAATTCCCAAAGTCAAATCCTGAAAATACATTCTTTTTCTCTTAGATTACAATTCGAACATTCTTCTGATCACCATAGCCTACTTTCTGTGCAACATGTCTGACAATGTTTAAAAAAACACTAACTAGTCTTCCACTTCACTCTTACAATTTAACACACATCACAAGCCTGACATTCAGTATAGTACTTAGTCTTTAGAACAAGATGCATTACGCTGTGCATATTTTAATGTTGGCAGACATTTCATACAAATTAGAGTAAAATCATTCATTTATTGGTATTCCTTTGCCTAAAATATCAGATTCTGGACAAAGTTAATCTCTTATCTGATGCATACAATAGAGTAAGAGCAGTGTCTTACCAGCCCTGCTGCCTTAAGTATATAGAGAAGTACAATGTATAATAAAGAATGGGTACTGCTAGCAAACGACTACTTCAGTGTGTACTTCTACAATGCAAGAGTGACTGAAATTCATTATACCTGTGCAAATTCTTATATCCTTCACAGAATGATTTAAATTCAAGCAACCAATGAATGTCATACGAGCAATCCTAGTTTTTGTTCACGTCATATACATGCAAATTATTTGAAGACATATGCAAATTATTGGTAGGCAAATCAACTGTCACTCGATTTTGGCCTACCTCTTGCTGGCCGTGATTTTTGTCACGGCAATTGCTCGTATCTATGCATAGCTTTAGCTTTAACTGTGTCCCAAATGATGATTTAAAAAAAAAAATTAAGGTTTGCCAGAACAATGGACAATAGAAGATGCATGACTTGTAACAGGCTACTGTCAGTTGCTAGGCAACAGCCTGATAAGACCGCGCCATTGGTCTCCTCCTGTAGGTTGCTGATTGGCCGTTGCTAAGCAACAGCCTGCTGGCATGTCTGATTGGTAGCTTGTGAGGGTCACTGATTGGCTGTTGCTATGCAACACTTATTAGCTACTGGCCTCTGTCACTGGTCTCTTCACTTGCAGCTTGTATGTCAGTTTCTTGGATGTGAACCTGGAAACATTGGGCAGGGAAACAATCAGTGTCATTGCTATAATTGAAAAAAACTTGTAATCTGTTGATAAAAATGATATAACTGTGGTTTATGACACTACTGCATTATTGAGAGTTCCCTTGTGTTGGTAAATAACATGCAGGAATAAAAAAAAACTTGATATTACAACCACCATGATCATATCTTTTACTGACATGTATTCAAGAAGTGCAGAAAGTGACATTAGTGTGGGGAACAACATTTTTCCTGAATCCAGGCGAAAATCAATGCACGAAACGTACTTGCTGCAGCATGTAGGCAGAGTGTACTGCCCTTGGCTGAAACCCTGATTTTTGAGGTTGAATCTTTGGTCAACGTTGCATCAGAATTTTTCCTGTTGCAGACAATACCTTTTCTGACACAATATTTGGAAACTACTGTCGAGATGTCAACCTTATATACTCAAATACATTTATATGAGACGTTCTGCTGAAGTGGTATGTACAATACATTACGGGCTTTGTATTGGTGCAACTTACATTCTGCCGAAGTGCTATACACAATACATTATGGGTTTTGTATTAGGTGCAGTACGTTTTGCCGAAGTGCTATGCACAATACATTACAAGTTTTGTATAGGTGCAACTTACGTTCTGCTGAAGTGCCATGTACAATACATTACGGGCCCGGCTTTGTATAGGTGCAACTTACGTTCTGCCGAAGTGCTATGCACAATACATTACGGGTTTTGCATAGGTGCAACTTTATGTTCTGCTGAAGTGCTATGCACAATACATTACGGGTTTTGCATAGGTGCAGTACGTTCTGCCGACATGCTACTTGCTGCATCCTTATCCAACACACCTGGAGTAGGAGTTGTCAAACAGAAGTGTGTAGACGCCGGCTCTCTTGGCGATGAGCTCCCCCTGTACAGCCTGTCTGTGAGAGTTACACTTACACATGGGGATCAGGACCTGGCACTCCTCGTGGACATCACTCTCCTTGTACTGCACACTGAACCCAATGTTCTGGGGACAACGGTGAAAAGTGACATGAAGGATTTATTAAAACTGAATTATATGATTTAAAAATGTCAAAGCAAAGATCAGAAGTTTTCAGATAACATCCACCATCTTTCTTCAGCTACTGACGAGAGCAGTCACATGACCAAGAGGTTAAAAGGTCAACACAGGTCACATGACTGAGTGAGGGTGTTGTATATGGGGGGGTAGTCGATGGCGGCCTTGGTAAAATACAATGGAAAGTGTTTTATGCAGTTTAATATAATTAGTAAACTTGGAGAATTATTGGTGAATGCCCTTGCTTTCTCCATAGATGACAAGGATCGTAACATCCTCTCAATCTCATTTGTAACTTGTTTTGTTGGGCTTGGAAATCAGTGATTCCAAACTGAAGGTATTACCCAACTGTTTCAAGATTAATGAATAAATAACTAACTAGACAACAGTCAAACACCAGTCTTAAGCTTCCCCAAACACCAGCTTAAAAAAGGATGGCTGAAGTTCAGCAGCAGCCTGACCAGATATACATGTAGGCCATGACTATCTTTCAATATGAATGAAATCGAATTTGAATCAAATTTGAAAGCCAGCACATACTCCCGCACACCAGCCAACCATTAGCTAACAATGGCTGGTATTAGATACTTAGGCCACACCAATTTAACTTGTTGGTTCTCGGATTTTTTCATAAAAAATATGAAGAGACAGGGCGAAAAAAAATAAAAATAAAAACAGGCCTAGGCATCCAATTATAGCCCCAAATGCTACAATATGAGCCATGAAGCCAACACAAAAGGCTGGGTTAATATTTCAACAATGAATTTTGAACTTTTAATCAAACCACTGCATTGATAGATGGAAAAACTGTATGAGCTAGGAAGAAAAGGAGTTTCCTCAACTGTTGGGGGAAAAATCTGAGCACTTTTGAGTTGATTCAGAACAAGAATCTTTTTTTTTTTTGCAAATCAGAAAAAAATGAAGAGGCGAATCCGAGAACCAACAAATTAAATTGGTTTGGCCTTAGTAGTTTTATCACAGTACATACCTTTGGCTCTGTCTGGAACTCCCAGCACAGAACGATGCCTGGTGCCTCCACCAGGATAGGCAGGGCAAAACTCCTCCCAGCTTTGACGGTCATTTCACAGCTTCCATCTGTCCTTCCCTGGATCTCCTCTACTGACATGGTCAGACTGGTGGTCAGGCTGGATAAAATACAGCAGATATATAACGATTGTTAAAATATTTCTTCAAGTGAAATCCACAAAGTGATTCTGCCCTAGATCTCATCGAATGTTTGTCTCAAATCCTTCTATGATTCTGTGTCAGAGTCTATAATATATTATGTATCTGTGTAAGCTTACATGTAGTTTTAAGTATCTGTCATACAAACATGAGCACGTCGGCAGAACGTACTGCACCTGCGCGAAACCCGTAATGTACTATTGTACATAGCACTTTGGCAGAATGTCTCATATAACCGTTGTATTTGCTCATATAAGGTTAGCATTTCGACAGTAGTTTCCAAATGTTGTGTCTGAAAGAATATTCTCTGCAACAGGCAAAATTCTGATGCAACGTTGACCAAAAATCCAACGAAAAATACGGGGTTCTGCGCAGGCGCAGTACGTTCTGCTGACGTGCTACAAACATGTAACATTCATCATCATCATCTATCGGCTAACAGCCGGGACTAAGCTAGTACAGATTTCTTTCCATACAGCCCTATCAAGCATTACATTTTCTAAGTCATCAAAGTCGATTCCAGTGTCTCTAACTAAGGTATCGGTGAATGTCAAACTTCTGGAGTGCACTCGTCCACGTGGTTTCTACATGAGTACAGATGAAACAATTTCTTGCTTGGCTCGGAAACAATGTCCAGCGAACATAACTCGACGGTGGGTGAGTTTTTGAGACAGTCTTGGGAGTCCTCCATAAATTTTTTCGAGAGTGGCATGTTGCCTCCAAGATATATTCTGTGCCCTCCGCAAGAGTTTTGTATAAGTCCCGTCCAATCGTTTTTGAAGCTGACAGGTAAGTGTCCAACTTTCTGCACCATAAAGCAGTATCGGTTCTACAAGGGTAAGAAAAACTTGGACTTTCAATTTGTTAGGGATATTAGACTTCCAGATCTTATCTAATTTGTTGCATGCTTCCCATGCTAGGGCTTTTCTAGTTTCAAAATCTTTCCTTGGGCACATAATGAAGGAACCAAGGTATTTAAAGTTTTCTACTTTTGTAATGAGTGCCCCAGACAATGATCTCAGTTCTAATGGTCCAGAAATGTTACTGATGTATTCAGTTTTTGATTCATTACAAAAAAGCCCCACAAGGGATGCAGCTTCTTCTAGGGATTGAAGCAATGTTTCTGCATTTTTAATCAGTTCAGCAACCAGCGCAAGGTCGTCTGCAAAGTCCAAATCAGTGAGATATTGGGCAGGGTGCCTTCGACTCCTGCGCGGTTGGATTTCTATGCCCTTGTCTTCATTTACGTCTAGCGATGTAACGTTACATGGGCTCCCGACCTTCTCCAGACCATGGTTAGGAGCTAGTTAATGTCAAACAAGGACATTTGTGTTGGGGAGTTGGTCAGGTCATGACTTTTGTTAATTACAGTTGGGTAAGTCATACTCTGCTGGGATGCCATCAGAGGAGTGAATTGGGCTACTCCCAATCCAGTGTTGACTTTGTTTGGAGAGTGGCTGGATTAAGGGGAATATAGTATTACATGTATGACAGGGAAGTTACAGTGCACACCTGTGTTCTTCTGTGACCGGGGTAATGCATGGTAAAGCCGATTTGCAACCCCTCACACCGTGCACGATTACACAAATTTTGGTACTAGAATTTTCTTCAGACAATGTTTGTGTCTTTCTGCCAGCATCATTCATTTCTGCCGGGAAAAAAATCTTTTGTATGGGGTTATCCTACACGAAAATTCCAAATTTTTTTCATTAATTTTGGAGTGAAAATGATCATGTTTTCTCTGTTAATTCTATGTTGGTCTTGCAGCTGAATAGATAATTATATTTTCATCCCATATACAGTTATTTTCCTTCCGAATTATTTCCTGGTAGAGATGGTCACTAGACTTGAGGGTGTGCAGCTTTGAATGGAAACGCCAAATAAACTGGGATGTGCCCCCTGAATGAATGAAGACTCCTGTTACAGTTACAGTATTACATGTACCTGGACTCACTGCTGCCCAGGTAGGACTGACCCCCATCAGACCCTGCAGAGGCTGCTATCTCCTCTTCACTCACAAAGTCAAAGTTAGCATCTCGTTCGTCAACTGCATCCTCATCTGTTGGGGAAGTGAACAGATATGAACAGTTACTTTAACAGTGTTTTGAAATTTAAACCTACATTTGGCAATAATACTGCATCAAAAACCCTTAGTTTTGCATCATTGTAGCATTGTCCTTGTAATTAAGATTATGCAAGACTTTAGTTGACTGTGAGAAATCCTGGCTAGTCTTCCAATGCAGCATTTCAGAACATAACAAAGTAAAAAAGAAAAATACAAGTTAGGACGAAAAGACTGTTTTTTTTCCATTGGACTCAAAGAAGTAACAAATTGACGCAAGGGAGGTGAAATTTACATTGTACTGACAGAATTTGAGATTCAAAAGCTGTTACAGTATTTGTGTAAACAGTGCTGCTTAATACAGATCAGATTGATTTCTAGGCATTGATTGAGCTACATGTAGGTGAAACAACAGACGTATGACTATGCAAATGATGGCAGTGTGTTTTGAAACCTTTAGAATTGTATTTGGAAGGAAAGCATGTTTTGGGAGGGAGTTCCATAGTTTTGCAGACCGGGGAAAGAAACCTTGAAATGAGAATTTGGTGTGTTTGAACAATTTTTTTTGCTGTCCCTTTAAACACAGCTCACGTACCATCACTCAGGATCCTGTTGTTGTCCTCCCCGATGTTGCTGTCCCCTGCTGTGTCCCCGCCAGCCATGTCAGCTGTCCTGCTGTCCAACTGTTGGTGCAGCTGGAAACACTCTTCACAGCAGCGAGACTTCTTACTGCAGGGCACAACATAAAAACACTTCAGACTTATGTTTGGAAAACTTTATCAGCTAAAGTTTTGTTATAGTATAATTATATTACACACTGTTAAATTTTGCATGCTTATCCTACAACTGTCACAAACATTTACTACAAAGTTGCAGATTTTCCAAAGATAGCCTTCCAAACTCTTAAGCCACCAGCATCAAAGGCAAAACAGGAGAAAGGACTAGAGTGGGGACCTTTTTTTTTTAAATGAGGCCGCACCATTTTGATTTGTTGGTTCTTGGATTTTAAAAGAAAAAATATGAAGCAACAGGGCAAAAAAATAAATAAAAAGAGATTTAGGCATTGTATGATAGCCCCAAATGCTATGATAGGAGCAATGCTGAGGTCAAAATATACCAGGCTGGATAACTTTGTAATTCAAATAATAAATTTCAAAATTTTAAGCAAACGACTGCATTGATAGATGGAAAAACTGTAACACCTCTGAAGAGAAGGGACTTCCTTCAACTGTTGGGCCAAAATATGAGCATTTTGGAGTTGATTCAGAGGCTGAATATTATTTTTTTTTTTGCAAATCAGAAAAATATAAAGGGGGCAAAACCGTGAACCGGCAAATTAAATTGGTGTGGCCTCCCACATGCCTTTTTCTGTGTTGGGGTTGACTGATTTAAATACAAAGTTAAGTGCAAATAAAAAAAGAAGACCCTCAAATCTCTGATGGAAAAACATGCAAGCAATGTTCAATAACCACTGTCACCACGGTGACCATTAAGTTAAACAGGGACAAAAACTTACGTAGATGGCAAAAATACAGAGCTGGAAAGAAAGGAAAGAGGTACATGTATAAAGCAGTTTATAATCAGGAAAGTTTTGAAACTTTCAACACTGCCATACACACACACATACATGTACACACACATATACACATGCACACAAACACACACACATATCAATTCAATAACGCAAGCATATATTAAGGAATTATTACTTTGACATACTCCATATTTACAAGAGAAGAGATCAGGCCTAGCAAAAAAAGGTTGTTTTTCCAGTTTCCTGACCGACCCTAACAAAACCCACAGGCCCTATATATAGGCTGTGTTGATGGCAAGGCCATAAAAATGTTTTCCTGGGTGTTACAGAGTAGAATAGCCTATTTTGGTGCAAGTCTGGAAAAGTAAACTTGACACTCTCCTAACTTCCCATGGCAGTAAACAAAGTAACATGGTCTATATACATGTGACATAGTAATCATAGGCAAAACCATTTACTTGTACATGCTTGTCATATTCAGATCTGGAGAACAAATAAGAAAAAAAAAAAGACCTTAGTCAAAAAATAGTTTCAAAAAATGAGCCTAGAAAAAAATACTGTGTTTTATTTCCTTTGTGCTAGGGTTAATCTGTTGCCGATAATCGCTTGAGAGAAGAAAGAAGAAGCAGCAGAAACAGAAGAAAAGTTTCAGAGAAAACAAAACAGAACAGACTACACAGTCACTTCTACTCTAAAGGAGTACAAAAATACAGATTGAACATAGTCATTGAAGTTGGTGTGTGCATGGCTTCTGTAACAGAGAGAAGCTATCCTATATCACCTGCTGTGTGAAGTCATGATCCAGTTGTTGGAGCAGGGATGACAGAAGATACGGCCACACAGGCGGCAGTGGTGCTGTGGACAGAGTTTTCATGTTTAGTCTGACAGGGAATTTACAATGAATGACATTGTTTAGTTGACCAATATGTAGAATGACCTAAATGCAACCATTCTCTGACATAGTGATACTTGTTGCTAACTTGGGTGTTGCAAAATTGCCTTTTGTAAGGTTATGTTCTAAATTAAATGTTATGCTTCCATTAAATGATTGTTACCAATATCACAGATTCAAAGTAGCAGTGTCTGTACCTCTGCAATTTGATTTGTATGTCACTTGACTAAATGAACACTAAGCAAAAGGATATTTGACAAAAGCATCACAGCAAAAACAACTTTGAACAGTACGCATATTTTCAGTATATCCTGATATCATAACAGTCTTAAAAGTTTATTGACGTAACAGTTGCTGTACATGAAGTGGATACAAATTAATTAAAATAGTTAGTTAAGTTAATGAATTAACCTACAAGTAGTAATGTAACTTTGTTATATAGAAATTCGAAAATTATGAACTTGACTAGTTACATACCCCCCGGAATAAACGTACCCCCCGGAAAATTACCAAAATTGACGGGTAACCTGTGTCACTTGTACTAAAATGCACCCTTACTGATATATGCACAAATCTTTAACTGTTATTTGCAATTAGGAATTTAAATAGACAAAAAAAAAGAGCATTTAATATTTTGTATTTTGATAAGCACCACCCATGACTGTAATAGAACATTCAGACGAATTTATGCACGCGGTGATTGCAAAAACCGGCCCGAAAATGACAAGTTTCTCGCTACAATATGCGTTTATAAACGTCTTCACGTCGATGATTTGTCAATTTTTTTCACACGAAGTTGAAAAAAATTACTGGTTTTCAAAAAATTAATAAACGTACTGTGCAAAATAAGAACGTACTGGGTGAATGTTTGGGCCAAAAAAAATAAACGTGCCTGTATGTTTATTTGGCAGATGAGAGTACAGAATTTCAATGAGGAAAGAAGTTTCTTTGTGTAACACATAAATTAGACCAAACTTTAAGGTAGTAAATAGAACCTCACCTTCCTGACAATAATGGAGAAATCTGTCTCACATTTCATACATTTCTTCACTTCCTTATCCTCCATCCATCTCTCTCCAGTACGCAGCTTCTGTAGGTACTCCAGCTGGTCGGTTTTCTGCCAGAGTTGGTCCTTCTCTCTGCAAAATAAAAACAGTAACTGAATTTTTTATTTTATTTGTGAAGACTTACCACATTAGTGGAAGGATTGACATAACAGGTGACCATCACCTCTTCAAAGATGTCAAACCTGAGACCAGACTGTAAAGTTTGAACCACTCACACCGGGAAGGTCCCCTACTCTTTTTGGTAAGTGCGGTGGGTTCTTTAACGTGCAAGGGGTGTGGCTCTCCCAAACACGGGACCTGCATTTTACGTCCTATCTGAGGAACATCCCTAACCAAAGCTCTAGGTAAATAGTATTACTCATTTACAAGTGAGGAAAGTTGCGTTAAGTGCCTTTCCCAAGGGCACAAGATAAGTGGCATCGGGCAGGATTAGAACCCTTGACCTCTCAGGTGTGAGCCGAACACGCTACCGCTTTGCCACGTAATTTCATGCCGGAGTTTACTTTCACACAACCAAACTTGCTGACATTTCGGTGTGTACATGAATCAAGACACCTTCTTCAGATCTTCTGACTGCAGTTCTGCTTCTTGCCGCTATCTGACATGTAACCGATGTAGGTGGCACTTTTGTAAGAAGCAGAACTCCAGTCAGAAGCTCTGAGGAAGGTGTCTGATAGACATCAAAACGTAAGCAAGGTGAGGCAAGTTTAGTTGTGTTACAAGTAATAGAAAACTCTGTCCTATATCCTATACTTTTCCAAGAACCTGTTTGCTTGCTTGCCAGTATAGTGTCTGTAGTTATTTGTAATGAATAGGGTAGAGTCATAGTAAGTGAAGGGAAAATTGTGTAACTGGAGACTGACAGGAAGGTCAATTTGGAGGAAAATATGGTCTCCTGCAAACTGTGAGGCAGTGAAGTCAAGTTGAAGGTCAATATAGAATCCTCACACACTACCAAAAATGCTTTTTTCTTGTTTTTCTTGAGCAAAGAACTTTTTCTGTCAGCAAGAATATTATTCTTTGAACAAGAATCCCGGTTTCAAGAAACCCACACTTATTTTTTTTTTCTTACAGGTAATAAAGAGGGGCAAATTTTGCTGGTTGACTAAGCTTAATTGAATGACAATTCTTTTTATACCTTTACATGCTGATTTTTCTCTGTCAAAAATGATGAGATGGGAAAATTTTTTTAATGTCATGAAAAGCAACATTCTGTCAAATAACAGAGAGACGGACACTGACCTGATGAGTTTGATGAGTTCAGTTTTGAGCTCCATGGTGTCTGTTCTCATCTCCTGTAACTCACGTTCCTTCTCCTCACACTCTCTCCTCACCTCACTTAGGTCAGCCTGGGAAAACAACAGCAAGGTTTGGTCAGCAACTTGGAAAAACAGTTCTAGCAGAATTGTTAAAGACATCCAATGCAGTTTCAGGGTGGCAAAACTGGATTTTAAAAGTCAATTTTCTCATAATTTTTTACAATAATTGTAGAATTAAAGTTGAATAAAAAATGTGATGTCACTAATGGAAAACAGTTGCTTGTTACATATTGTAGGCAGGTTCTGCATATTTATTGGTGGTACCAAAAAATAAAGAGACTCCTCACGTAGCTTGCTTTTGGCCTATTTGAAATGCTTACTATAGTATGAAATAATGATGAAAATGTGCTTAGAATTAGCAGAACATGTTATAAATATCATACTGAAGTTGCATTGGATGCCTTTAACTAATTCCAAATGTAAGAAGCCTAACTGTAATTTTGTTGTAATAAAACAATGGTTCAGCACCAAGGACAGAGGCCAATTTGTAACACTGAAAATTCAAATGGGGGGTATTCTAGTGGTAAAAGTAGAAATTGAAGAAGTCTTAGTGGTGTTTGCAGTACATTGAAACAATTCAGCAGCACAGTTAGCATGATGACAGTACTGTAATACATTGAAAATGCAGATTCGTGTGCCATGAATTTATGATGGAGAAGTCACTCGAGAAACTAAAAAAAAAAACACACTGCAAACATTTCAAGATTTATGTACATGTATACAGCAATCAGTTTTAATGTAGCTGAAATTTCTCACCTTGATCTTAAGACTTTGGTTCCTTTCTTCATCTAGCATCTTCTTGGTCCTCTGTAAGTCAGTACTGAGGACGCTGCACTCCTTATCCCGACTCTGAAGACTGGACTTCAGCTGATCCACCTACAACAGTCAGGAACAACACAACAGTCAACAGTAATGTACTATATAATATTTATGTTTCAGGGTTTGGTTCCTGTCTTACTCATGCATGGAAATAACTTATAACAAACATTTTATAGTTATCATTTTACAAACCTACATGTAGTCTAGTCTTATGCAGCTTGTACTGCTTCAATAATTCTGTATTTTTGCAAAATCATGCCCAAAGGCTAATTGCTTTTACAGTCAAAGATACAAAATGTACTATTATATCGTACAATACAATAATTATATAGGAGACAGACAACTACTGTCTGAGAAAAACTTATACTTCTACTACTACGCTTGTTATTATGAGGTTAGACTTCTTCTTTGAAGGCAGTGGATAATGAAAAGTCCCACATTCTGCATAATTAGTGGGTTTTGTGATCTTAGTAGAAACATCTAGTCTTTTGGTGATCTTCTAAATGATGAAAGGATGGAGAAATTACTGTCTTTTGAAATAGACTGTTTCTCACTTACAAAATCGTTACACCTAAAATTTACCTATTACGCAAAACAAACAAAACGTGCAGTGGCAATACCATCCTCACCTCTTCAGTAACCCTCTGTAAGGCTATCCCATGATCCTCCTTGTTTCCCCATTCCTTATCTCTCCAGTAACCTTCTGTAAGGCTATCCCATGATCCTCCTTACATCTCCAGTAACCTTCTGTAAGGCTATCCCATGATCCTCCTTACCTCTCCAATAACCTTCTGTAAGGCTATCCCATGATCCTCCTTACCTCTCCAGTAACCTTCTGTAAGGCTATCCCATGATCCTCCTTACCTCTCCAGTAACCTTCTGTAAGGCTATCCCATGATCCTCCTTGTCCCCCAGGATCTGTTGTTCCAGATCACTGATGACATGTTCCTGTAGAGCTGACTTCTCCTGGAGAGACTTACACTCCTCCTGCTTCTCTTCAAACTCCTAAAAAATATGTTAACCTTTGTCTTTAAATCACTACCACAACACATGCAGCACAAGCAACATGATAGTAGCACGTGGATATCAATCCTTAGCAGAACGTAGAAGATTGGCAAGACTGGGAATGCTGTCCAAAATCAGCCAAGGACTAGTACAGTGTCTCATCATACATTTGCAGTTGAGAGACAGTACAGGAAAGCCCCAATATCCTATAATTTTATAGATGTTTTACCAAACTGTTGAAATTGCTTTTGGAAGAACTGAAATGAACACCATTTAATTTTGTTGTGGGAAATGAGTTTACTTAATACTATTTTTCATATATTGTTTATTTACCCTTGTTATTGTTATTGTTGTTGTTATTATAATTATAATATTATCACTATGATTTTATTTGTTATGGAGGAGGACAAGAATAAGCCCTGAGGCTTTTTTCCTCCTCCAGCACATTCATTCTGTTTAGGTTAATTATTTTCATTCGTTTTTTATATATTTACTTCAGATCTGTATAGTTTTTGTTTTATATGTATGTGCAGATAAAAATAAACAAAAAATAAACAAAAACAATAAACAAAACCGACCTTGAGCACCCCCTGGTGCTGCATGGTGTCGTAGCTGATCTGGAACTTGAGTGAGGAAACCTCCTGTTCCAGGGTGGACTGGGATGTCCTCAGCTCGTCTTTAGTCCTCTCCAACTCAGCTTCCAACTTCTGCTTCTGACTGGTCACCTCCTCAAGGCTCACTACAGGAAAACACAACCATTATTATCTCAAATTGTACTCTCCAAAGCAATGAACAAAATAAACTCTTAAACACAACCTCCGAATTCTACCCTAAGTTTCACACAATAAAAATACAAATGAAAACTATTCTCGTCTTAACATCCGAAAACCTAAAAATTACATAAAAAGTGGGATCTTTTGTCTTCCTCTGTCTTCGAAAAAGAAGTCAAACCCAGTAGTTTTTTTTTTTTAGAAGTTATCAGTAAGTTCTCTGCACCTATAACCTGCACTGGCCCATGTTCTGGTAAAATTTGTCTGGTGTAAGTAATTTTCAATGTTGCCTGCACCAGTGTTATGCAGATAAAAGTATTTTGAGGCCTGAATGGGAACATTTTCTAGCAATTTCAGAATAATTCCTTCCCAATCTTTATCACAAATTTTGTCCAGCCTATTCAGCTAAAAAAAATCCAATATTTTGTATGTCATTGGTCTTTATTGTCATAATAAATTTCTAATTTTGCTCAGAGCCTGCATACTTTTCTGTAGGAAAATGTTTTAAAGTATTTATGATGTAATATAATGTAAGGTTGGTTTCCCTTACCGACATTCATCGGATGCCAATCATTGTTAGCTTGCAAAAACCAAAACCATAAGAAGGATATCAGATAAAACAAGGGGGGGGGGAGTTTTTTAAAATCCATGTCTTGCATTGAAGTTTAAACATATTAAAGATATTGCTACATGCTTTTAAGATTGTGAAAAGTTCAACATCAATACATCAATGCTTGAGCTTTTGATTAAATGAGGAACAGCCATAGCATCACTGTTGTCTATGCCTGAACTAAAACACTGAAACCATGCATATATTATGCTTCGTGCACTGCGCTACTATATATAACAACTTACCTTCAACTAGTAGTCATGCTACTGGTCTGACTTACTTTCCTTGCAGAATTGTCTGCAACATTGTGCTACCTTTAAGTTATAACATTCGTTTTATTACTTCTGTACTTCTCGCTTTTGAACATGCATCAAAGGGGGCCTCACGCAGCATGCCCTTTTTCGTAAGGCGTAATCAGGCCTTTTTAGTCTTCGTAATCTGTAGGCAACCTCCCCCAAAATCAACGTAATTCGTAATAGAACATTACCTACAAAGTGTAAAGTCGCAATAAGCTCTGAGACTTTTACGTAATTAGTAATTGGCAGCAAAAATTTTGTGTAATTCATAATCACTTCCCCCCATGCAGGCCCTCATCAAACTCTACTAAACTTCAGGGAGAAGAACATGTTTTGGTTGCCTAAAAGTACAAAATTAATACTATGTTTTTTTTAGTTTTGAGAGATAAAACAAATTGTGTGTTGTCCTCACCTTGCAAGCTGGTTGCTTTCTTTTCAAGACTCTCTTTCTCCTCTGTGACTGAAGCTAAATGATTGTCCAGGTCTTTCTTCTCTGTAGCTGCAGCCTCTAACTTCTCCAGGCATTCTGAACTGGTCTGTAATATTTTATTTAAAATGAAGAAATAGAAAGATGTTGACTTTAAGCTGCATATTATAGTGGACACCATGTGTAATGCCTACTTACAAAATATGTAATAATTATTATAACAACAATCATTTATGGAATTTCCAGTGAAATTTAAAATTTCCTTGCCAAATTTGATTTAATACCAGTCATTGTTCGTTGCCAAAAACAAGATCCCAAACCAAGCTGAACAGCATTTCTCCCATACAAAATGATAGAAACATCATGGAGGTAGAAAAAAGAGACCTTCTACCTCCATGGAAACATTTTATGACAGTGGAAAAGGTACATGAGAGCCCCCTACCTGAAAAAGCCTTCCCTGCAGCTCATTTCTCTCTGTGACTGCTTCATCCACCATAACCTTGACTTCAGCCAGCTCACTCTCAGCCCTTTCCACCCTTCTCTTCAGGTCTGTTTTCTCCTGATCCACCTTCATCAGTTCTTCTTTAGTTGTCTCCAGCTCGGCAGAAACCTGTTCGTAGTCCTTGTTCAAGTCAGACTTCTCTTCCTTTGTTGATTCGAACTGAGACTGCAGGTGGGTCATCTCTTCTCGCAGAGAAAACATCTTTTCCTCGTGTTCCTGGACCATCTTTTGTTTCCTCTCCTCGTACACTTGTGTTTGTGTCACGTTTTCCTCCTGTAGCCGCCTCATGTCTTCCACCGTGGTCTCCAGTTGTCGTCTGTGCTGCTCCTCCTTTTCCAAATCTTGTCTTACTTGAAGAAGTTCCCCTTCGATGGATCCTTTTTCTTTCCCAACATTTGCTGCTTCCTCTTCCGCCCTTCTTAACTTGTCTTCCAGGTTTCCTACATCCTTCTCCAGTTTAGCCTGGAGAGCATTCGTCTCCTCTTTCAGAGTTAAATGGTGACTTTTAAGTTCTTTTATCTCATCATCCTTTGCTTTTGAATTGCTAGTAAGCTCTGCTATTTCCTTCTCGAGTGATCCCTTTTTACCTTCAATTTCTGCTATCTTTTCTGTCAGCTCTCTGATTTTGGACTCCTTCTTTTCCAGCAGTTTCTCCTTTTCCCCCAACGTGGATCTCAGTCCTAACTCACTGCTTCCGAGCTTTCCTACTGTGGTCTCTAGGTTCTTCAGTTTTTCCTGCAGTTGTTCTACGTTGTTGGTTTTTCCTGTCAGTTGTTGTTTTAAGCCACCCATCTCTCCGACTAGTTTTCCCTTCTCAGTTTCCAGTGTTGTGATTCTTTCCTGTAGTCTTGTTTTCTCCTCCTTTGCTGAACTCTGCCCATCTTCAATCTTCTTCTTCAGCCTTGTGTTGTCTGAATCTTTATCTCTCAGATCCCTCTTAGCCTCTTCCAGGTGTCTTTGCAGCTCGTCTTCCTTGTTCTCCAGCCTGCTAACAGACGTTTTGAGTCCTGCCAGCTCCAGCATGACTGCCCTGGCACCTTCCTGCTCTTCCTTCCATCTCATTTCTAAAGATTTAACCTGGTTCTTCAGCTCAGAACCCTGGGCCTCCTCAGTCCCCAGTTTCATCTCCACGAGCATTCTCTCCTTCTTCTCTTCCTCCACCTTTCTCTTCAACTCCTCCACAGAGTTGGTCAACTCCAGTTTCTTTATCTCTGCAGTCTCCAGTTTTATTCTCCATTCATCCATCTCTTTCTCCAAGTCCTGTACCCTTGCGATATTTTTGGATAATTCCTCCCCGACTCCCCCTTTTTCTTCTATCAAGGATTTGCAGTGTCCTTCTAAGCTGGCAACTTTGTCTCCTAGCTCTTTGCACTTATTCTCCTTTCCATCTAAGTTGTCTTCTGTTGATTTCAGCCTTCGTTCCAGGTCCAGTTTCACACTAGAGTGTTCACCTTCTGCCTTTGAGATCTGGTCACTCAGATCTTTGATCCTCTGTGACAGCTTCTGTTCGTTTCCGCTCATACTTGACCGCATTTCGTCATTTTGCATGTTTAACTCGTCCAACATCCTCTCCATAAGAGACACTTTTTCCTTTCCCTCCTGTACCGTAGACTCTAAATCTCCTACTTTTGTTTTCAGTTCCACTGTCTCTTTCTCTTTCTGATCTACTCTTCTGTGGAGGTCATTTTTCTCTTCCTGCAGTGTGTCTTTTTCTACCTCTAATTCAGATATCTGAATCTGCAGTTGATCAACTGTTTTGTCCAGTTCCTGCTTTTCCTTTTGCAGGATTTGCGATTTACCTGTCATTTCTGTAAGAGACGTTTCCGCTTGCGTTGCTCTGTCTTCTAACTCCTTCCTTGCTGAATCTAAACATTGTATCCTTTCTTGATACTCGGTTCTTTCTCTCTCCAGACTGTCCACTTTCTCTTTACTTTCTCCACTGCTCATTTCTGATGTCTGTGCCTTCAGACGGAGCTCTGCATTTGCCACCTCCATGGCTGCTAGTCTCTTAGAGAACAGGCCTTCCACTGATTCTGCCTTGTGGCTGTACGTTGTGAAGGACCTTTGCACGGACTCAAATTTCTGCTCATAATTCCTAGCAGCCATCTCAAGTTTCCTGGCACTTTCCTCCTCCTTCAGACTCACCATGCTCTTGTACAAGTCTGCTTTTCGCGAGATCTCTTCCGTTTTCTTCTCCTGGTTTTCTGTGACAGCTTGTAGTAGGGCCAGTCTGTCTTGTAGGTGCTTTTCGTTGTTGGACTTTTCTTCGATGATTTTCTGGAGGTTTTCACACTTCTTTTCCAGACTCCCAACCTGCTGTTCCAGGCTACGTCTCATTTCCTTCACGTGTGTGACCACTTTCTCTGTTTTTGCCTTCCTCTCTTCAAGTTGACTCTCAAGACCTGCACACTTCTTTTCCAGCTCTTCCTTCTGTGCCTTCAGTGTGACATTAGCTTCCTCAGTCTCTGTCAGTTTGTTCAGCATTTCATGCACCTTGTTGGCTGATTCGAAATGGCTGGCAGCCTTTTGGTCTTTGTCCTTTGCCATTCCTTCCATTGTTGCTATCAATTCCACATTTTTTGCCTCTAGACTTGCTATTTTCTGCTGCAAACCTTGTAAGCTGCCATCCTTCTGCATGTCAAAAGTCTTCTGGGTCTCCAGTTCTTTCTGTGCTGATTTCAGTTCAATTCTCAGCTCAGAGTTTTCCGTATCTTTGCTCTTTAGTCTCTCCTGTAGCTCTTGTTCTTTCTCTGAGAAGACCTTTTCTCTGCTGTCCTGCTGAGTTCTCAATACTTCAACTCTCTGCTGCAAGTCACTGACAGTGGACTCTGCATCTCTTTTGGCCTACAAACATGGAAAACATCAGTGAATATAGTTTCATCGGGTTGTTAAGTCACCAAATGAAGAGACTCTTTTTATGCAACCAAGTGTTGCTGACATGTGTAAAAAGAGTCTCTTTATTCACAAACATGGAAAAATGAAGAGACTCTTTTAATGCATCTAAGTGTTGGCTGACATGTGCACACTTGGGTGCATGTTAAAAAGAATCTCTTTTATCATGAACATGGAAAACATAATTCAATGAAACCTTTCAGATTTAACATTTATGCTTTATAGTCATGCCTTCAAGAACCAGATTCAAGTTTTCTTTTCTTTCCTTGAACTAGTTATTGTCGAGTGGAATTATTGCCGTCAAGTACAGTATCCTAACTACATGGAGAGAGCTTTAAACTATGCTTACAGCTTAATGTGCTTGCAGAGCTGTTGTGTTACGTTGAAGGGCAGTTATACACGTGGCTATACAAATACAGATGTTTTGTAAGATCTAAAGAGCTTTCAAATTACTTGGTAATACTTATGTCAACATATCAAATTGAATGTTTTTAACTTTTGTTATTGATTCATTGATATTGGACTGTAATCTAGTCACCTTTTCTAGTTGATTTTCCTGTTCTTTCCACATCTTTGTCCTTTCTTGCAGATCCTCCTCTGTTTTCTTCAGAGAAGACTCCAGATCTGAGATCTTTTTCTGCAGTTCTGTCCGGACATTTGACAGCCTGTCCTCAGTGTCGAGGGCCAGCTTGTTAATTTCTTCATTTTCTGCTTCCAAATCTTTGATCTTTTTCCACAGTTCTCTCTCCTTAAGCTCTGATTGGTCGAGCTGCATCTGTGACAAGAACCAATTAAAAAGAAATAAGCCTGTTGGGCAACAGCGGAAGTCAACTAATTTACCACAACCAATAGTTCAGCACCACAGTTAGGGACAACCAATCAGTGCCATGATGAGGACCATGACCCAATCAACTGCTAAGCTACCCAATTAGATGTTGAGCTACCCAATTAGATGTTGAGCTACTCAATCAGCTGCTGAGCTACCTAATCAGCTGCTTAGCTACCCAATCAGCAGCTAAGCTACCCAATCAGCTGCTTAGCTACCCAATCAGCAGCTAAGCTACCCAATCAGCTGCTTAGCTACCCAATCAGCAGCTAAGCTACCCAATCAGCTGCTTAGCTACCCAATCAGCAGCTAAGCTACCCAATCAGCTGCTTAGCTACCCAATCAGCAGCTAAGCTACCCAATCAGCTGCTTAGCTACCCAATCAGCAGCTAAGCTACCCAATCAGCTGCTGAGCTACCCAATCTGCTGCTGAGGTACCAAATCATCTGCTGAGCTACCAAACCATGTGCTGAGCTACCAAACCATCTGCTAATCTACCTAATCATCTGCTGAGCTACCAAATCAGCTGTTGAACTACCCAATCTGCTGCTGAGCTACCTAATCAGCAGCTGAACTACCCAACCAGCAGCTGAACTACCCAATCAGTTTATGAGCTACCCAATCAGCAGCTTAGTACTGTACAGTATCACCCATGAACACAGTAATGTCAATTTATATACTCTTATCTAGAATCTAGCTCTGACCTGCAGCTCTTGATACTTCTCCTCTTCAGACGGTGTGGCAGGCAGAGGCTCCATCATGGGACTGGACACCTCACTCAGGGTGGCAGGCTGGAACAGGACAGGTACACGCTTTTAATAAAAACTCACCAACAAATCTAACAACATGTGCATTTTTTTCATCAGGATACACCGATCTATTTTCTTGGTTCTCTGACATTTTATATTGGTGTTGCCTGTTGGCAAGTGGACATCATAAAATCAGAGGGTTAGGAGGAAAACTTGAATATGACATGAAAAACGAAATTCAATGTATTCCGCACCAATTTATAATAGTGACACTTGTTCACCTTGTTGTTGTATTTACCGGGATGTTGTATAAATTGTGTCATATCGCAATGGGCCCTCGGGCATAAATTTGCAAAATAAATTACTTCTGTTAATAAGAAGACCAGAGTGACTGGTTGAAAGCTCTGCGTGAGAACAATCTACGTCAACTTGGAACAAAACGTTTAACTCTGAACAGGCTTCTCACAAGTTGAAACTTTTGTACTAAGTACAGTATGATAGTAAGACATAACCTCTGACAGGTAGAACGTATTTACTGCGCCTGCGCAAAACCCAGATTTTTCACAGTTTCCGTGGAATTTTTGGTCAATGTTCCATCAGTATTTTGTCTGTTGCAGAAGATATCTTCACCGACACAACAATTGGAAACTACGGAATCCGACGGGATATTAACCTTACAGGCGCAAATACGACCTTATATGAAACATTCTGCCGAAGTGCTATGCACAATACATTACGGGTTTCATGCAGGTGCGGTACGTTCTGCCGACATGTGTGCTACCTCTAACCTGTGAAGAGAAGCTGCCCAGACTGCTCATACTGGGCGTCCTGCTGGGGGGTCTCCAGTACTGACCAGGGGAACCAAACATCTTCCTGATGATGGAAGTAACCAATATCATCACAGGGAAATCTGGTAATTTAAAACCATTTCCAAACACGAACACAGACATTTTCAATCCACTCATTGACAAGTCATACCCCGACTACGCACTTAGGCCAATATATACATTGTACATGTATGTAGTGCCTTACAAAGAAGAGAAATTGTCTTGTAACAGACATAAACGTTTAACTTTTAGTACATCATGTCAATGCTTCATTTACATTCCATATTCTTGTTACAGTTATAGGTTTTTTTAGAATAGAATACACTATCAAAATAATTTATTATGTTGTATTGGTTGCCTTGTCACTGTTGCCATACATGTACATGTACATGGTAGTACCCTTTCTATCTAATGTATCTATATCTATTGCTGGCCTGTTCAGCTGGGACCAAGCAAGTACAGATTTCTCTCCATAGATCCTTACATGTATGTAACATAGCATTTTCTAAACAATCAAAGTCAATGCCTGGCCCAGTGTCTTTGACCAAAGAGTCAGTGAATGTTGAGCAATTAAGTTCACTCATTCATGGTTCAGGATAATGTCTTGTTAAGTCACTATCAAACAAATTCGATGTCATTTTGCAGCTGACAATCTCTGCACATGAATATCTGGTGTAAGGCAGTGGCATACATGTACATGTAGTTTAATCAACAACACAGTAAAAAGATGGCAGTTAGTAGAATATTTCAACCTAAAATTTGGAGGTGTGTCTTTGCTACCTTTCAAAAAGGCGCTGATTGATGAATATTCTACTAACTGTTCATCATTCTATACATGACTGATGAACCTCTTCAACAGGAATAAGATGACTTTCTGACCTGGCAAAAGTTGGCCATGCTGCGTCAAGGTCATGTCCATGAGGTGTAAGGTCAAACTGGATGTCATTCAGGTCATAGAAGTGATTGACAAGGGTAGAGGACGTCCCATGATGCAACAGTACTGACCTAGGGTGGTACCAATCACTATAGTGGAAGAAAAATATTTAGTATATACTATTAGACATTGTCTCTCAGTAAGACATCTGGAGCCACTGAAATTTTATTCAGGACTGTTTTTATCCTAAGGCTAAATAGTTCACATATTAAGAAGGCTAAATAGTTCACATATTAAGAAATGTAAAGTTACATTTACTAGTAACATATCAACATAGAAAGCCTGTCATTCACAGCAAAATCAATAGAGGGCACTTATTTTTTAACCCCACTGAAAACTGACAGGGAACAGTTTGAACACTATAAGTAATTATTATAATTATCAGCTTTAGTATGCTCCCTTTTTTGTTTTTTGTTTTGTTTTGCTCCCCTTGTTACCTACTTGCCCAAATGACACACATATTTCATACATCTGGAACTGGTGATTATGTCACATAATAAGCTAATTCAACATTGTGGGCTTTGGCCAATCAGTGTGCCTGTTCAAATTTTGAATAAAATTCAAATGACAAACAGAAAGAAAGTACAATGTATGACAAAGAGAAACAAATTATGTCATCACCCCGTCAGGGGTGGTATACCCCAGACGGAGGGGCATTTCTGCTTGTCAACCTACATTGTGCTACGATACTGCCATGTACTAATACTAACGGATAGATTATCTGCAGGCTCAGTCTTATTTGCAAGGAAACAACGAAGAGAGCATACTACAGCAAAAAAAGGCATTAAATAGGCTACAATACATTCCATCCATCAATCCATTGAGTTGACATACCCAACAAACGCAGTACCCTTGGGAATGACCTTACCTGGTGACCTTCCCATTGAGCACACACTGCTGCATGGTGTCGGCCAATCGCTGATGGACAAGAGAGTAGCGCAGAAACGCACGGCCTCGACCAAGGTTTGTTTTCACCTAGGGAATCGAAGTAAAATGTCTTACAAATTTATAACTTAAAAGAGGCACAGTATATCTATAGAGATGGTTTACAACAATAATATCTCCCTGACCATTTGCTAAGCTTTAGTCTAACATTTACCTACTGGTTATGTGAAAGAATAATTGAAATAAAAATGATAAAATCCTACTAATTAAAAGATCTTTTGAATATTCTGGACTTGAGACAAAGAGCTTTTTACACAATGGAAAGAGTAAGTACTAAATACAAATTATTACTCTAAAATAAACTGTATTAATTTTATAGTTAGAAGACGCTACGCTCACTCGGTGGTTTATTCGGTGGTTATCGCACCTGACCAGGAATTATCTTACCATACACCTTGGGGTGGGAGATTAACATTTTATTAATTTTTCAGACCAAATGAGTCATTTGTGAAAATAATTTCATGGAAACAATAAAAAGCATTATGGAAGGAGAAAGGAATTAGAATTATGGTGAAGTTAGAGTTTTACCTCATTCTGACTCTTGACATATCTGATGCCGTCGTTCAGCCCTTTGTTTCCTGCCAGACAGTCACAGAAGTAGTTCCAGTAGTCCTTCCTCCCGCCCAGAAAACTCGACTTCTCTGGACAGAACAACGGAATAAAGGGAAATGTTTATCAACTCTGAGACCCAGTAAAAAAACTATACATCTTTTTGATGTGTTTATTTCACAGCATGTGTTTCACTGTTTGCTCATATGGCCATAGATATTTGACCTTGATTTGAACTTGTTACACATGCACCAGGTACATTGTATTTGCAATAAAGTGGCAGGAAGGGGGAGGGGGGATTTGTGACTGTAGATTGACAGGAATGTCAAATTGGGAGTCAAAATGGTGTCCCTGTATGCTGGAAAAGAACGGCATAAACTTAAGGTTTAATATCTCATTTCCTGTCATCACTTTTCAACTATATCATGTCTGTTGAAATATGGAAGCCAGCGTGAAAATAGATAATTTTAATATTAACATAATCAGTAAAATCAGCAAGAAATTTACAATGATACCATATAACGGTAAATAAAAACAAGAAATTCACAACTCTATATACTTCATGTTGGTGTGAAATCTTGTTTATCCTGTGTAACACATAGGGGTCTGTCAATTTGTTCTGTAAAGTTTTGAAATTTTGAACTCAAGACATTTTCTCCCCCTTGACAATGTCTTCATTTTTCTCAAGTTTCTTGTCCTTATGGGGATAACAACAGTTGTAGTGGAATAAACTTCAACTCAAGTCACATGATTCCATGTTTAAAGCACAGCTCTGATTTGCTATAGTGCTCTAACCAATCAAAGCAGCTATATGATAAGGTGCAGACTTTGTTGACTCCTCTGAAAAGAGCTGAGTTATGCACAATGGTAAGTCTGATTTATAGCTATTTATAGCACCTAAATCAATGAAAATTACATGACACAAGAACAAGTTAAACATTTCTTCACGGTAATAAATTAAATCTTTGATAACATGGTAAAATCTAAACAGTCGACAGATTTTCAGTTGATAAGCTAGACATTATAATGGCACTATAACTGTAAACACTGATAAACAAGTCTTTGTACTTCAAGTGATTCTTAACTTTACGACTTTTTTACAATCTACAATCACAGATCAAGATACCACTTTGCATACACCAATATTTCTTAATATGAGATAATCATACAAGGGTAGTTTTGCAAAGTGTAGTGAACATTATGTTGTGTTTTCTTACAGATAAACCCAAACCCAAGCTATCACGTTGCAAATTCAACCCTACACAAACTACAAGAAAAAGTTGCAGGCTGACACTAGTAAGAGTACACTCTTTTATAAACAAATTTTCTCATTTGTGTTAATTGTCCCACCCCTGGCTAGAAAATGGTAGAATCCAGATCACCTGATGTGGTATATAATAAAGTCTGGTGCTCTGCAAATCAGCTGCACTCTGCAACAGGCTCAGACTTAGGAGCACCGACTGTGACTTTTTCTCCTTGTGTTACATTTTTGTACTACAGAGAAGGGCTCACACCTCTAAGGCATCATGCAGAAGTTTCTCTACATCCTCCTGTCACTGGCCATCAGCAGGGCCACTGTTCTGAGGTGAGGAAACTGCAGTTGGATACCCTCCATCATGATTTTGATGGGGGCCTGCATGCTCTTTTCCGTAGAGCGTAATCGGCCGTTTTAATTCCGTGTAGACGGATCGCTCTAATTCTACACACAGCGTAATTGGCGCATTTTGCGTAGAGCATAATTTCCCATTTTCTTTTATGTAAATGCGTTTTAGCTACCCAGAATTTATCGTAAAGCGTAATGGGGAGGCTTCTTGAATTCAGCGTAATATGTAGCCGACTCTCAAAAATTAGCGTAGAGCGTTGTCTGGACCCCCACATGCAGACCATCTTTGATCTTTGTTGCTGTTACAACTTGCTGTTAAGCTACAGTAACTGTACCTTTTGTTAACGTTCCTGTTGCTAAGTCATAAAAAATGATCAAAATTTATCCTTACTATTTACAATTACAGTCAATCCAAGTCTGTGATGCAAAATCAGGGCAAAGAAAAACAAAGACCATGTTTTAATCAAAATTGGTGGGAACAAAATTAGATCTCAATTTTAATTTCCTCACTTAATGAACAGAAGCATGTCCATAACAGAGTTTTCCCAGCTGTTGTATTTTGCTGCCATAGCTGTTAAAGTACAATCAACCACTAAATCTATAAGCTGGGCTATCGGGGCAAAGCGACCGCTTATTCTCGGCCCCCACTTTTTTTCCTTATTGCCATGATTTTTGTATAAGAAGTCTCCTGTAAGCATTACTTGTCTAATGTGACTACTTTTTGTCAGACCCCATTTTTTACGAAGACCACTTGTCTAAGGCGACCACTTTTTGTTGGTCCCTGTTTTTTCTGAAGGTGTATATCATTATAAGCAAGTGCTTTTTGCCCAATACTCAATAAATATATATTGTGAATAAAAATAAAATTCATTTTTTTCCACTAGGGACAGTGACCTTAGCGAAGACTCCTCAGAGGAGCTGCCTGACCCTCCCATGTGGGTGGGGAATGACCTGCACAACCTGCCCCAGCCCATGGTCAGCTCAGAGATGACCTCACGTCTCTACAACATCGAGCAGCAGCTGCAGAACTTCCAAGGTCAGTAGAGGGCAAGAATCCATTCTTTCCTAGAACTATCGCAGAGTGGAACTCACTGTCACCAAGTACAGTACTGTAGAGGCATTGTCATTAGATAGCTTTAAACAATATTTAGAGTAAGATGTTCAAGGGCTGGGTGTAACAAGTCCTTTAGTGTAATGTAGCCAGCTTGCCGTGACGCATGCCTGCGAAGCTGGTGTGTTACGTCAAAGGGTGGTTATACTGGCTATACTGATACAGATAAAGGGCAGGGCTCTATTTTTCTGTCAATTAGATATTAATTAAAGGAACTTTGTGGCATGTAACAGAGGAATTTTAAAACCAATTTGTCAATCTTGATGGACATAATCACGATGGTCAGATTTGGGCCCAAAAGTCCCACTCCGCTACTATGGAGATCGAATCCCCCGAACCCGCGAATCTTGTTCGATATGACGTCATTCGAATAGAGCAGACGTTCGATCTGGGGTTACCCGCGGTCATTTACAGTAAAGCCGCTACAACCGGCTACTTCAAGCCCTTTTTTACTTGGGAACCACGGAACAGGAAAAATCCACCTTTCCACAAATATGAACCGTTTTCAAAACATTACATCTATGCCGTGATTTTATTGTGGATATGTAACATGTAACGAAGCTACTGCCGTCATCGTGGGTGACCTTGAAGGTCAGAATTCTTGTTTACGCTAATTATAAAATCCAGGTCCCCATATCCAAGTGGCACAGCATGCGTGCAAACATGGTATTTTAAACATTCCCAAAAATCGCTCAAATTACCTTATTGAGGGCTTGTTTGGAAGAGGAACGATTTCCGCAGATTTCTGTCTTAGGGATTTTTTAAATATGGCCGCGATTATGAATTATCGGTATTTAAAGTTAAAACACTGCGTTTTTAGCTCTTGTTTTGACTGTAAGTCGAGTTTTAGTTAAAAAATAAAAAATCCTTAGACAGAAAGTTTAAATTTACTGTAATATTTCTAAAAATCCAAAAATCTAACCTTATTTTTAATTTTCAGGGCCTCTTAAAATCAGTTGTTTAGTTCTCGTGAACCCTTTTTGAAATCCGAAATTGATCTCATTTGGAAGCAAATGTACACAAAGTGGAGCAAAGGCAGTGCAAGAATAACATTTGAAGTAAACAAAATCACTTATTACATTTTATTTTGACGAGTATTTACTCTCCAATTACTTTTGTTTATTTTCAAATTTTACCCGTTGCCCCCGGGCCGGCCCGGGACTCCCGCGCGGCCACGTTCGAACACGTTCTGTAACCCGATACCTCCCTAGTAATGCGACTTTAGCCTAGCAACCGACCGCCGTGAATTGACAAAAAATATAAAAACGTCCAAAGAACGACCCCATTTGAATTCTCAACCCCATGATTCACCACTCAAAATGGTATTTTTACAGTTTTGAAAATCCACAATTTGCCACTAGCCCCCCCGTAGGCTGCAAGTGAAAAAAAATAAAAACCATGAAGCCATGAAGTCAACCCAAAATGCTGGGTTAATATTTAAACAATGAATAATATGAACTTCTAATCAAAAACCAATGCATTGATAGATGGAAAAACTGTAACAACTTAAGGAAGAAAAGGACTTTCCTCAACTGTTGGGGGCAAAATATGTGGATTTTTGAGTTGATTCAGAACCAGAATCTTTTTTTTTTTTACAAATCAGAAAAAAATGAAGAGGTGAATCTGCAAACCAATAAATTAAATTGGTGTGGCCTAAGAGTTGTAAAAGTTATTTTACTTTTTTACCACCACCGTTCCCAGGTGCCATGAGTACCCTGCAGAGTGAGCTGACAGCCCTGAGAGACCGTGTGACTGTGGAGAGGGAACAGACAGGTGCCTCCTTCAACAACCTCAAACACCTGCTCAACAACGAGTACATCCAACGCAGGTCTGGTCTGGAGGATGTCAACCTCAGTCTTACCTTCCTCCAGGTGGGGCATAACATTTTTCTTTTTTTTTTTACTAATTATGTTTACCGAAGGAAAACATATTGTTTTGAGTGTTTCCTCTTCTTCTCCAAACCAATAAGGTCAATGACCTGAACCAGATATCTGTCCCCATGGTAATTACTGGCATAATTGGGTTACATCATGTTGCAATTTTATAGCAGGAGGGATTTAGACTACTGTCACCAAAATCATATATGAGTGTGTTTGAGTAAGAATTAACAGAGCAGGCCATTGTATTTACTAAGTATGCGAAGGTATGCATTATGCATTTGTTTTGCAAAATAAAGTTTCCTTAAAGTTTCTAGTTTACTTCAATTTTCACCTCAAAATAAGGCTCATTCAAACCACTCAGACATATGTTTTGGGTTACATGTTTACCTAAGATTTGACAAGTTTAAGGTTGTACCCTAATTTGGGAAGCATTCACAAGGAAGCTTCTTCCATAGTGATGCATTTCTAGGAAAGAAGCTTTCAGCATGGAACTTTCTC